TACTCTTGTGACTGTTACGACTGTGACGTGCTGCACTCGTGCCGCATACTGCAACCATCTCTGCAAGAACTATTTAACGCAGAATCTTTTTTTATTCCCCTCCCCCACACTGGTATATTCTTGAAGCCTACACATTCATCTACTATGGGACAATACCGTCATACCATTTTCTCAAAATTATATCTCTCCAACCCATCCCCACCACTCTCTACCACTCCAACTCCCCTTGCACCCATGTCCCCACCTCCGCACCGCACTGCACCACTACCAGAGTGGGAGCGGTCGCTGCAGCTGCTGGGGGTGCTGGCAGTGGTGCAGCTGATCTACCTGCGCGTCAAGACATATGAGACTGAGGAGGACCTTCAGCGGGACGTGCGGTGAGTAAAGTGAATACTGTGTGTGTAGAGGGGACGTGCTGTGAGTGATGGGAGGGAATGTGCTGTGCATGCGTATTAGGGTATGGTGTGTGTTGTGTGTGTTGGCATTGCTGCAGCTGCTGGGGGTGCTGGCAGTGGTGCAGCTGATTTACCTGCGAGTCAAGACATACGAAACCAAGGAGGACCTTCAGCGGGACGTGCGGTGAGTGAAGGGAGTGGAGGGGACATGTGGTGAGTGTGAGTGGAGGGGACATGTGGCGAGTGTGTGTGGAGGGGACATAAGGGGAGTGTGTGTGGAGGGGACATAAGGGGAGTGTGTGTGGAGTGGACATGTGGTGAGTGTGTGTGGGGTGGACATGTGGTGAGTGTGTGTGGAGGGGACATGTGGTGAGTGTGTGTGGAGGGGACATGTGGTGAGTGTGTGTGGAGGGGACATAACGTGAGTGTGTGTGGAGGGTACATATGAGTGTGTGTGGGGGGGACATGTGGTGAGTGTGTGTGGAGGGGACATAACGTGAGTGTGTGTGGAGGGTACATAAGAGTGTGTGTGGGGGGGACATGTGGTGGGTGTGTGTGGAGGGGACATGTGAGTGTGTGTCGAGGGGACATGTGGTGAGTGTGTGTGGAGGGGACATGTGAGTGTGTGTGGAGGGACATGTGGTGAGTGTGTGTGGGGTGGACATGTGGTGAGTGTGTGTGGGGTGGACATGTGGTGAGTGTGTGTGGAGGGGACATGTGATGAGTGTGTGTGGAGTGGACATGTGGTGAGTGTGTGTGGAGTGGACATGTGGTGAGTGTGTGTGGAGTGGACATGTGGTGAGTGTGTGTGGAGTGGACATGTGGTGAGTGTGTGTGGAGTGGACATGTGGTGAGTGTGTGGAGTGGACATGTGGTGAGTGTGTGTGGAGTGGACATGTGGTGAGTGTGTGTGGAGTGGACATGTGGTGAGTGTGTGTGGAGTGGACATGTGGTGAGTGTGTGTGGAGTGGACATGTGGTGAGTGTGTGTGGAGTGGACATGTGGTGAGTGTGTGTGGAGTGGACATATGGTGAGTGTGTGTGGAGTGGACATGTGGTGAGTGTGTGTGGAGTGGACATGTGGTGAGTGTGTGTGGAGTGGACATGTGGTGAGTGTGTGTGGAGTGGACATGTGGTGAGTGTGTGTGGAGTGGACATGTGGTGAGTGTGTGTGGAGTGGACATGTGGTGAGTGTGTGTGGAGTGGACATGCGGTGAGTGTGTGTGGAGTGGACATGCGGTGAGTGTGTGTGGAGTGGACATGTGGTGAGTGTGTGTGGAGTGGACATGTGGTGAGTGTGTGTGGAGTGGACATGTGGTGAGTGTGTGGAGTGGACATGTGGTGAGTGTGTGTGGAGTGGACATGTGGTGAGTGTGTGTGGAGTGGATATGTGGTGAGTGTGTGTGGAGTGGACATGTGGTGAGTGTGTGTGGAGTGGACATGTGGTGAGTGTGTGTGGAGTGGACATGTGGTGAGTGTGTGTGGAGTGGACATGTGGTGAGTGTGTGTGGAGTGGACATGTGATGAGTGTGTGTGGAGTGGACATGTGAGTGAGGAAGGCTATGTGAGGCAGAGGCAGGCGTGCAAACTGGAATGTACGCATCTTCTTTTCTTTCTTTCTTTTTCCGACAAGCACTGTAACTGCCACAGTAACCTGCCTAAAGTGTTCAAATCAACACCATCATCAACAACAGCACCTTGAACATCCCCATCCCCATCCACCATTTATTGGTACCTCCATCGTTCCACATTGCCACCATTGTCGCCTTCTCCCTTCTAGTTTAATTTGCGGGCTGTTCTAAGCCAGACCTTATCTTCTCATCCTTAGCTCTCTCCACCCACTCTTCCTCGCCCTGTCCCCCCCTTGCTGGGCCCTCTTCTCTCCCTGCGTGCCTTGCAGAGCACTGCTCACGCCCTTCTCTCTCGCAGCATCAGCAGCGGGGTGGGCCCTCGGCACCTCCTCTTCTGCCTCTGCAGCACCCAAGGCCGCCAAGCAGCTCACAGATGGGGAGGGTGAAGGAGGGAGCGAGAGCAAGGCGCCTGACGCTTCCAGTGTGCCTGCTGCTGCTGCTGCCAGCTCAGCTGCTGATGTGGCGGTTCAGACTGACAACGGCAGTCTCGCTGTTGCACCTGAGGTAGCTGCACCAGGAGATGCACCTGCAGCAGCAGAGGCACCAACAGTGGAGCCATCATCAGCAGTGTTGGAAGCAGCAGCAGAAGCTCCAGCAGCAGCAGCAGCAGAGAGAGCAGAAACAAGTGATGCCAGTCGTGATGAAGCTGGGAGTGCAACGGTGAGAGAAACGCCAACAGAGAGCAGCGCACCCTCTTCTGATGTGCCTGCCCCTGCCCCTGCCCCTGCCCCTGCCCCTGCCCCTGCCCCTGCCCCTGCCCCTGCTGCTGCTGCTGCAGAGTCAGCTGTTGAGTCACCAGCCACCCCTTCTACCCCAGCAGCGATTGAAGCAGCTGCTGCACCACCCTCGCCCCCCAAGCCCACCCCCAGCACCGCCACCAGCACCCCCACATCGCCTGTTGACAATGCATAGGGGGAGTCAGAGCCAGATTCTTGCTGCCCTGGCTTTTCTAACGCTTGTTATGTAGTGTGTTGTGTGTCGCTTGACTTGGCTTGAAGTGAGCACCTGCCCTGTAAGGGGCCGGTACAAACTTAGGCCAGAGGGTATACTTTCCTTCTTTTTGCGTGTTTGTGTGTGTGGTGACATTTTTGTAGCTATGTGCGTGGGGGGTTTGCATGCAGGTTGTTCTGTGTGGTTAGGGTTTGGCTACACAGCACAAGCATGGACTGTGCTGTTCGATTGCAATATCGTACTATGTTTGACCCACCCAACTGTGCCTTTACAGGAATCCACCTGTTCCATTCAAAAAGCTGAACCGTACATACGGTATGTGGTCCCATAAAACAGTTGACAGGGTGAAAGTGTGGAGGACGTGAAAGCTGCTGCTGGATGCAGTGCCTTTGAAGTACCGATAGAGGGTCCTTCATTTCATTTGTAGGGACCATCTAGGGATAGCAGGTGAGGCCTGAACACATTTAGTATTGTGGACCAAAGGTAGTAGTTTCCCAGATGAGAATCATGCACTGCATTTAATAGAGTCACTTTAAGAATATATACGTTCAAACTACACCGCACCACAACTACCCAGCACTGGATCATACGGTAATAAGGCCAGATATTTTACGCGGGTGAGGTTGCTTTTCCCCGCAATCCAGTCCAATTGTGTCAGTTGCCAGCGCAACTGATACACGCTGGAGTGGAGCATCACTACCATGACGCTGAGTTGCGTCGTTCACCTCGGCTTCAGTTTGCAATTTCGAGATGTACACGAATCGATAATGGACATGTGGATGACCTCTTGGATTTGGTATCTGAAAACGCGGTGCGATCACCCCTCTCAATTTCCGACGTTTTGATTCGAGCCGGGGAATTTCAGTGCGGTGCAATCGGAGATCCTGATTGGTCAAATGCAAAACGATCACTCCACCACCACACACACACATTTGGGAGAACCAGTCCTGGCGCGTTTTCGAGATCATGTGCCCCTATCCCCAATTCTATGACTGTAACAATCCGACCCGACCCAAGGCGACCAAAATCCAGACCGCGCCAGCTGGCCAGCTCACCCTCATCCTTACAACGCTTTACGCCACGTCCACCACTGTAGGCACGCTGGAGCTCTTGAGGTGCCGGAGCTATCGAGGTGGCATTATCGAGGCATGACGCGGCTCTACGTCAGCACCGATGTCATCGGCGGTCAGACAGATAACCCTCAGGGATTCCATTCCATTCCGTCCAACTCCCCCCCTCCCTCCCGTCCCATCGCTCCCTGCCCTGGACTCCACTGGACTTCTCTTGTCACTTGACTCACTTCACTGCACCGTTTCCTTCCTCCCTCACCTCCCTCTCTCACTCACCATGACTCAATCCTTGAGTCAGCTGATGACATAAGAGGTCGAGCTGATGTCAAATGGCCAACAGCTGATGAACACTTTTTGCCCAGGAGTGGTTGTGACGGACTCGGCGTGTGCCTATGGCGGCGTGAATGGTTCTCCCACCATTCGCAGCTTCCACTGACGCGCTGGCGAGCCGCCACGGACCGCTCCTTCGTTGATTCTCGGCCTCAGATCAGAATTCGTAAGGACCAGCACTAACTCACTGATACTTTTCGAATCGGCACTTACACTTGCACATCATTCAACAACCATTGTGATCGATCAGTTTGGCTCATAAATTCGTATGATCATGGCTTCTGTTCCCGTGTTTCCCGTTCTATCTGCGTTAACCAATGATCAAGTTCTCTTCAAGCATTCAGCGATCGTATCATTCCGTGTTCCAATCTGGCGCCTGGTCGAGAATCAGCTTTAGACCGTCGTCCTATTCACGAGGACACGGACTTATCTAATATTGCTAGCACTTTACTATCTTTAGATTTCTTAGCAGCACCTATTATCTCCGCCACTTCTGCGCAGATCTCCTGTTCAGCTCCCTCTCTCGGATCCGCCATGGCGATATCGGCCGCCATTCGCGCTCCCGGCGTTTCCAACCTCACACGGGCCTGCGTCAACTGCGCAAGCAAACGCGGGCCGGGACAGATGGCGTCAGCGTGCGCGTCCGTGACATGCCATCCCAGGTGCACGCTTCGGCTCGCGTCCAATCAGCCGTCGTCTCTCGCCTCACGCAACTCGCTCACTTGCCGGCCGTCCAAGAGACTAATCTTCGGACCGGCTCTGAAGCAATACTACGGCGGCAGGACGCAGCGGAAGCCGCCTCCGTACCCGATATACACAATACTTGCCGACGCAACAGCTTCTACCTCGCTAGAAGACAAACCCGTTACCAGCAAGCAATCCGTCGCCGTCCTCGAATGCGACTGCCACGTGGCGGGCCTGCTGCCAGCTGGACGGCGTCATCATGAGGGCTCAAACGGTCCCAACGGATCAGTCAACGGATCGGCCAGACAGCGGTCAGCCAAGCGCGGGCCGTGCAACGTGTGCGGAACCGGTAAGCCCTTGAAAGCCGTGGCAGTACCGACCGATAAGCCCCAAGGCAGCAGAAGCAACACCAACGGCGGCCTTTGGGGCCTAGCTAATTCCCTAGGCGGTCTGCTGACTCCCGACGCTGATATCAACGTGCTCTCCTCCCCCTCCCTGCTTTTCCCCGCTTCTGGCGGCGTCGTTGGCGGTGCTGACGACGCGCTGTACTTTACAGAAGACGACGAGGATGAGGAAGAGGAGCGGCTGTACGACGCAGTGAGTCTCAGCAGCAGCATCAGCAGCAGCGGCGACGATGTCAGCAGCGAGGGAGGGTTCAGCCGCGTGAGCAGCACCGGCAGCCTGTCCGGCCTCGACGACCGTGTACGCGTTAAAGTACATCCGGGGCGAGTGGACATCTTTAACGGAGCGGAGCATCTGCGGCTGCGCGCGGACGGGCTGATGGAGCTACGGCGCGTCAAGGACGGCGTGCCTGTTCTCGTCACCGCGGGGCGAGTCTCCCTTCCTGACACCTGCCGTGACTATATCGAGTCGTGCGAGATCACCGTGCTGGACGAGTCGATCGGGGCCGTCCAGCTGAAGTGGATCAACGGCTCTGCGCTGCGCGTGGTGGCGGCGAACCCTGCGGGCGTGGAGAAGGGCGATCTGTCGGCGCTGCCGTTCGACCGCGACCACGGCAACCCCGCCTCCGACCCCTCCTGGGCCAAGGTGAGCCTCCGACCCCTCCTGGGCCAAGGTGAGGATCCCACCTCCTGAGACAAGGTTAGACTCTGAGGCAACCATCCCCTGGCGTGCGGATTCGTGCTAGGATTCAGTGTATCCGTCCCTGTTCTAATGTTCCCACCCCATGCGTACCCATCCGTATGCGTGCCCACCCCCACCAACAGAAGCTGGCGTGCGGGTTCGTGTGCGAGTTCAGCGTGGCGCAGCACGCGGAGGAGGAGGCGCGCGGAATGGCGGAGGTGGAGCTGGACATGCGCACCGCGGGGTACTGGTTCGGCGGGGGGCACTACATGCGCCAGCACTGGCCGCTCAACCGCGGCCAGTTCGAGATGGGTCCCTTCTTCCCCTTTGACAACGGGCCAAACGGCACCAACACGCTGCTCGCCCCGCAGTGGATGACCTCACGTGGGCTGCTCGTGCTGGCCAATCCGGACACGCCCTTCCTGCACGTGGGGCTGAACGCGCCCCACGTGGGCCCCCACGACGGCTGGATCCAGCGCTCCTGGGGCACGGGCGTGCAGAACCTGGCGCGGGAGTCGCTGCCAGCGGTGGAGAACGGTACGGGGGACGGCATGCTGCGCCTGCAGGCGCGGGCGAGCTACCGCACGGTGGAGATGCTGCACCCGCTCCGCGACTGGATGCCCGCCATGTGGAAGGAGGAGCAGGACAAAGGTGAGCTTTGTCAGAGTGGCTCGTAGATTGACCTTCCATAGTTAGCTGCAGGCAAATCTGGGCAGATCTGGGCAAATCTGGACAAATCTGGGCAAATCTGGATAAATCTGGGCAAATCTGGACAAATCTGGACAAATCTGGGCAATGGGCCCATCTAGGCAAATCTGGGCAGATCTGGATAAGTTTCCTTGCCCTCTCATCCCCTCACCCCTCACTCCCCCATCCGTCACAACCCCCCCATCACCCCTTCAGACCAGCGCCTGAGTCTCCAGTTCGCCCTGTGCGCCACTGCAAACGTCAAGCAAGCAGCGGAAGCCGCGCTGGAGACCCTCCCGCGCCCGGCGAATCCCCCGCCGAGGGAGATGGTGGATGCACCGATCTGGACGACGTGGGCGCGGTACCACGCCAACGTGACGCAGGCCAAGGTGGAGCAGTTCGCGCATGAGATCGTGGGGCGCGGGCTGTCCCGGTCCGTCATGGAGATTGACGACAAGTGGCAGACCAAGTACGGCGACTTTGACTTTGACCCCGTCAAGTTCCCCAACCCCAAGGTGAGCACCACCGTGCTGCTTGCCTGCTCTTGGTACATTTCGCATTCACCACCTTCTCATCATGCTGCACACGCCTGTAAACCTCTCAACTCCCTCTCAAATCCCCTTGCTCATCTCTGCTTGTTGCTCTGTCTGCCGCTCTGTCCATGAGAGCAGGCTATGGTGGAGATGCTGCACGCGTTGGGCTTTAAGGTGACGCTCTGGATCATGCCCTTCGTGGAGGAAGCTTCCGCCGCCTACCAGGAAGGAGCACCCAAGTAAGTGCCCCTGAGCAATTCACACCTAGCAGCCCCTCTGTTTGAGTTCCAAGTTTCATCCATACCATTCTCTTCTGCTGTCGTCCCAACTTCTGTTCTCACACCTCTCTCCGCCGTTGTCCACCCCTCCTGTCGCCCCACAGAGGCTACTTCATCTCATCCAGTGCACCGGCCACCAAGGGGCTCAAGCCGGGCTTCTTCAAGTGGTGGCAGCCCGTGCCAGCAGCGGCCCTCGACGTGACCAACCCCGAGGCCGTGGCCTGGTTCGTGGGGCGCCTCAAGCGCCTGCAAGCAGATTATCTCATCGACGGCTTTAAGTTTGACGCGGGGGAGCCGTGCTTCCTGCCGCCGCATTTCGTTACGCACAAGCCGATCGTCACCCCGGTGGAATACACACGGCTGTACGTGCAAGAGGTGGCGTCGCAGTTCAGCTACGCGGAGGTTCGGACCGGGCACAAGACCAGCAGCGTGCCGCTGTTAACCAGAATGGGCGATCGGTTTTCCACGTGGAGCACGGGGAACGGGCTAAGGAGCGTGATTCCCACGCTGCTCACGTCGGGGATTCTGGGGTACCCGTTCTGTTTACCCGATATGGTGGGGGGGAACGCGTACTTTGGCAACAAGCCAGACGTGGAGCTGCTGGTGCGGTGGGCGCAGGCGAACGCGCTCATGCCGGCCATGCAGTTCTCCATCGCCCCCTGGGACCTCAGCAAGGAGGCCGACCGCCTCTGCAAGGCCGTGCTCGAGGTGAGCATAGGGGCGGTGGGACGGGAATGGAGAGAGAAGAGGCATGCTTGCACCAGCTTCTCTCTTGTCAATGATGCATGTGATGGCTGTAGACTAACTCTCTCCCCTCCTGTCCTCCCTACCGTACATTTTGAGCAGCTGAGGGAGAAGGTAGCGGGCACCATATTCAGCCTCATGGAGGATGCATGCTCCAAGGCCCTCGCCCCCGTGTGCCGCCCCATGTGGTGGCTCGACCCCGACGATGCTGAGGTGCGTTCCCTGCCACTGCACCTCGCCTCACCTTACTGCACCGCACTGCACCCCACTTGCACCCGTGCCTGCACATGGCATGGATTGGTCTTTGAGCTACAGGAAGGCGCTGCTGTGATGTAGCAGATCAAAGTATAGCTTTGTGCCTTGTAAGCCTCCGCTCATTCTCCTTCTCAAATCTTCCTCGGTCCCTCGGCTACTCCAGCCTTCTCATCATCTGCTTCCCCCCTCATCCTCTCTCATCCCCCCCACTCCCTCCTCACCTTCCAGACGTTCCCCATAGACGACCAGTTTGCGATAGGCGATGACATCGTGGTGGCTCCTGTGGTGGTCAAGGGGCAGAAGAAGCGCGACGTCTACCTCCCCAAGTGAGTTTAAAGCACGTGCTCACTTCTCCATGCTCCTGCTATGCTAACCCTTCTTGTACTCTCTCGTCCTTCCCCTTCCCTAACACTCTCATTGTACTCACCACTACCCCAATTGCTCAGTCTCTCTTCTTCTCTCTCCCCATGTCGCCCCTTCTTCAGAGGCGCGTGGTGCGAGCTGCTGAACCCGTCCAACACGTTTGAAGGCCCCACCTGGCTGGAGGATGTGGAAGCGCCTCTGCACATCATCCCCATATACTGCCGAGTCGTGCCGACCGACATTGCGTCACCAAACCAGGAGGGCGGGCAGGAGGTGGCAGACCACGCAAGCGCAATGGTGCCGGTGCCCGTCCGGATAGAAGACGCAGCGCTGGTGATTGCTGATAGCGAGGCTCTTGCGGAGGGCTCAGCGACACAAACAGTGAAATGCTGACATGAGTCAGTACGGAAGCGAAGTGACCTTCACCCCACCCACACCTCTTGCACCCGTTGAAAGGGTGGACTGGTGTTATTTATTTCATTGTAAATTTGTTTCCCTTTTTTATGGCGCGCGAGTGCCCTGTGTGCACCATTCGTAGGCCTTGTGAATACGTTTTTATCTGGTTTGTATGTTTTGCCTTAGCCTTCATGCGTGGCCTGGCTTTTCTCAGAAAACATGTGGTGATTCAAGTATCATTATGACATTTGAGTAGGTGAACCATGCCGAACTATGCGATATACGGGAACTAACTTTCCTGACAACCTAATGCCAGGTTGTAATTATCCGCGCGGGATTAGTTGGAACATTATTGAAGCAGGTGGCATATTATACTGGCTCATTAGATATACGTAATGTGGCAACATAGCTTCCAAAGCATCAGATCTCTACAAAATACACCTGCTAACATTGCGTATGAAGTCGTGTAACTTCGCGCACTCACCTTTGTTGGTAGTTCTGGTGGTGAGCAATCTTCGCACCTGTTCGTGATTAGCGCAAATTCCAGAATCGCAGATGCTAGCGAAGGGGTGGGTGCTTTGGTAATGGTCGTGGAGGTTGCGACCTAGGGTTTGGTGCTCCACCAATCCATCTCATCTCGCCACTTGTCCCCACCTTTCTAGTAAGCAGCCTGGTTATGCTTCCTCGCTATGAACTGCTGGCTAGCTATGTCTCAGACGCCCGCCCATTCTGACTTACCGCACGAGATCTGGCACATAGACAGCCGGATTTGGCGCCAGATTAAATGTGGTGCCTTTTTCAGCCGCCCCTGTAGTGCCAGTTTACGAGTTCACAGCAGCCGCGCAGCTTAGAGCGAGCTCTGTCACGTGGGACAATGCGCTTCCCCATTTATTATCCCACCACCAGGTATGACCCCACCCTGCCACGCCACGCTAGATCCACGCGTGAAACACGTCATGCTGGGCTAGGTCCACCAAGAATGAGTGTCACCAGCTTCCATTCACGTCCACGCGCTGCGGATGTTGGTGCCAAACCTAAACCGTAGACAGGGCTCCGAAAATGTCGAATTGTTCTAAACCGTCCGATTTGAGCTTATCTAGCTGTCATCCACGTGAGCGTGCTGTTAAATAATCAAACCGAGGGCACAGCTTTGCCGCAGATTCGTTTTCGGAAGCACCGGAGACACTCCAACCGTCCGATTTTCGTGTTAGCTGGCGGTACAGTCAGGCTAGCAGCAATGTGGACCACCCACTGCCGCGTCGCACTTGCCTCAGAGCGCAGTAAACGGGTGTGGTGCCGAAGCTCCACCCAAGAGTGCCGAACCAACGCCCGAACGACGGCCCCTTCGTTAACGGGGGAATCCTTTGCCGGGTGTCAGTAGAAATGGTCACTTGACGACCATTTCTATTCAATCACAGCTTGTTTGCTTCACACGCTCTTTCAGTCACTTGCACAGAATTTGCCTCGTGCTCTCGTTGCTCGAATGGACGCGGTCAACCCTGAAACTGCTCTTGCCGTTGCTCTTGCTGCTGCCACATGCTTCGGAAACGCAGCGAGGTACCTGTGGGAGGTACCGAGCTGGTTGGACTGCCCTGCAGTGAACCCGCTTCCCTACGATTGCATCTACGAATGGACTGCTGCTGATGAAGCCGAGCTGAGAGCAGCACCGGCTGAACTCAGTGTGAGCGAGGAGCTGCTGCTCTTGGCGAAACTTACAACAGTAAGCTCCGCTGATTTTATTACCGAATGGACTGCTCAAGACGAGGCCGATCTGAGAGCTCCCGTCAGGAATCGCCGTGCTACGCTGAGCGTAAGCGACGAGCTATTGCTTCTGGTGGTACATGCTGTAAACTCTGATGATTTTATCACAGAGTGGACGGTTGAGGATGATAGGTATCTGAGAAGTGCGTCAGTAAGGACGTCCGTTGGCTGGAGTGTTGCCGAGTGGGTGGCCGAGCACGGTTCAGTTAACCCCGCCGCGTTCGTCACGGAATGGACAGACGCGGACGAGGCTTATCTGAACGATCACTCGATTAGGACTCCTGCAGATCGGAGTGAAGGCGAGCGGATGCTGCTGCTGGCGGCTCGCAAGCCCATGACCTCCACGGAGGTGGCTCTCAAGCTGGGCCGCTTTGCTGAGGCGAGCAAGAACCGCCGGGAACACCGTGGTGGAGCGCGGCTGGGCTTCTCGCCGTTAAGGCCCGCCCTTGTCACGGCTGTCGCTTCTGCTGTTGGCATGGTTGCCGCTGCTGCGAGTGCTGTGGCTGACACTCTTGGTGCTGCTGTCGCTGCTGCTGTGCCTGTGGCTGTGGCTGCTGCTGCTGATGCCGTTGCTGACGCCATTGCTGGCGCTGTTGCTGCTGCTTCTGCTGCTGTGCCTGTTGGTGCTTCGTCTACAAAAGAGGCTTGCAAGCCATCAGCACGATCAGCAGTGAAACCATCGCGATCAGTGGCGAAGGCCGCAGTACGGCCAGTGGTCAAGGCAGCAGCCCCATCAGTACGGCCAGTGGCTAAGGCAGCAGTATCCGATGTGGTAAAGCCGGCTGCGTGCAAGTCATCAGCACGCGCACCAGCTTCGCCAGCGGGACGACCAGCGGTGAAAGCAGCAGCGAAATTAGCCACACCACAGGCAGTGAAGCCACCTGTGAAAGCAGCAGCCTGTGGTGCAGCAGTGAGAGGGACTGGAAAGGGAGAGGCAAGCAAGGTTGGTGCTGCAGCGAAAAGTGTCGGATGCAAGGGTAAGATTTCTGCAGTGACAGTTGAGAAGTCAGCAAGACATGCTGCTGCTGGTGGGGCTGCTGCTGCTGCCACGAGCAGATTGAGAAAAAGGTCAATCTCGGCTGTGAGGGGGGAGGGGAAGAAGGGATTGCAGGCAGCAGCAGGGAGCAACAGTGAGCTGCGAGGCCAGACTACAACAGCAGCCTCGTAGAAACAGCAGTCCCAGCAACCCAGGTGGAGGTGACAAACTTGACTTGGCACTTGCTAGTGTATAGGAAAAAAATTACCTCGTATGCTATAGTTCACTCACTGATAGGGCTAAGTCTGTTACTTGTAGGCCCATGTAAACTAGATGCTATTATGATCATTAATGTGTATATATCACAAAGTTAAGACACCAGTTGCAATAACCAAGGAGCTTTATCTGCTGTATGGGTTGTTGATATTGTCGTTTGGGGCAGCTGAGGGGCGTACGGCATGAGTATGTCTCACATTGTTTGTATGCATGCTACAAGAGGCACTTGCATGCATGAAAGTGTCATTTGGCATGAGTGTGTCAGTTGGGCATGATCTCGTTCACATTATGTTCAATCTCCTCGCCAAGGAGACATTTCCTTCTTCCCATGTAAAACGCATGTGGCACACTGTTAACTATGCTTGTGACTCTGTATGCCTTTCTATGGGCATTTAAGCATCGCCAGTAAGCACTGTGACCATAATTGCAGCTCATGGCCTGAAAATCATGACTCATTTATCGCTCCATGCCCCATATCCCTTACCTCAGCACTCACCCTCTCCCTGCCCCTTCACCCTCCCCACGCCCCGTTCTCTCCACCTCATCCTCTCCCTCTCACCCCCCCTCCCCTCAGTGAGTCAAACCTTTCGTTGAATGCGACTTCTGACGGATTCTGACACTAACTGAGCTGCTGGCCCGCAATGAGGTGAGCTTCGGTGACTTATGAGAAAAACAAAGAAAATCACCTCGCAATCAGCTCAGCCATATTGCTGCTTCTGATGTTAGCTTGAAGCTTTAAAATGGGAAACAGAACAGGAGAGGGTGGGTGCGGTTTAAACTGGAACTGTTCTTGGTAACCATTTGTAAATGTCTCGTACCTCCCTGAACAAGTTTCTATACCGCAGAGTTAGAGATACTGAGGGCAATAGTTAAGTCAGTATTCTTTCGGTATTCGGGTCAGTATCAGCTCGGTTTCTTTCAGTATTGAGGTATCAGGGCAGTAATCACTCGGTATTGAGGTATCAGGTCAGTAATCATTCGGTATTAAGCTATCAGGTCAGTATTAATTCGGTAGTGAGGTATTCATTCTGTATTAAGTATCATGTTGGTATCCAATACTGATTCAGTACTTGTATCAGGTTGGTATTCTTGCAGCTGGGTGGGAGGATGCTCTTGGACTAACTTTTTGCAGGCTGTGACAGCTACCATGTCACCACCACATGGAGCAGAGCACACAAAGTTTGTGCATCAGACACGGCTCCATTAGCTTACCAATTTTTTAGTCAAAAAATGTTTTGGGCCGACCTTGTGGTGGTTGGCTTTGGCATGGGTGGGTCTCCATCCCATGATGTCCGCAAACAGTCTAAAACAGACCGCAGTGTGGTACATTACCCTTGTGAGCAAGTGTTTGTTTTTTTGGCTGATAAGCTCAAGATTGTGTTTTCCTGCTTTGAATTGGATAGTGGAAATGAAATGAGGCCTGCATGCATGTTGCACACGTCTTTTTTGCTTGAAGAGATGGAAGATGCAGCATGTACAGTACATGCCAGATTGACAAACCAATCATTTTGTAGGCAACTCATAAAGTCATCCTGAAGAGGTTTATTGCTGCTCGTAGTATGCATGGCAAACTGATTCGACACATTTTATCTACACAATTTGGCACATGTTAAAGGGCCCACAACAACAGCACCAACAGCCTTAGAAATAGCCAATCCCAGCTGCAGGTGCATGGTTCAACAAGCGGAGGGATTGGAGGGACAGGAGGGAACGTCGTTGGACACGTGGCAATCCCAAGGAGGCCTCCTGACCCATGTGCCTCATGCTCTTGCGGCTTCCGCATATGCACGTGTTCCTGAGGTTTGCTACGGATGCTTTGTCTACATGCGCCTCCTGTAAATGCCTCGCCCTGCATGCACGCGATAACTTCTGCAATGCCGCTGCCGCTGCCGCTGCCACTGCCGCTGCCGCTGCCGCTGCCGCTGCCACTGCCGCTGCCGCTGCTGCTGCTGCTGTTTCTACTCGAATCCAAACTCCTGCTCGTGCTGAGGCGGATGCATGCTCTACCCCACATGAGTCTGACGTCCTGAGCGATGCTGCTGCCGCTTCTCCTCCTCTACATGAGCCCGAACCCTTGTGAGTTGTTGATGGCCGTCAGTAGCCGCGTTTGCAGCTGTATGATGGGAAGCACAGATGGTGGCATGGGATTATGAGGAGAGATGGTGGAAGGGCGTAGGAAGGTATGAAGAGCATAGCACAGGGTTGTATGTGATTGTGTGAAATACACAGTGACTCTATCACGAAGCATGAGTTCACTGTGATTGCATGGCATGGCAATGGTAGAACCGACGGCACGAGTCACAAGGGGTCGTGCAATGTGCTGTGGGTTCAGAGCAAGAGGAAGAAGAGTATATATACGTGATTGCATCGCATGGCAGTGGTAGAACCGACAGCACGAGTCACTAGAGTAAATCAGCAGCAGAGTATGTCAATAACAATGTCAATAACAATGTCAATAACAATGTACATAACAATGTCAATAACAATGTCAATAACAATGTCCATAACAATGTCCATAACAATGTCCATAACAATGTCCATAACAATGTCCATAACAATGTCAATAACAATGTCAATACCAATGTCAATCACAATGTCCATAACAATGTCAATAACAATGTCAATAACTATGTCCATAACAATGTCCATAACAATGTCAATAACAATGTCAATAACAACCCAATGTCAAAACCAATGTCAATAACAATGTCAAAACCTATGTCCATACCAATGTCAATCCCAATGTCAATCCCAATAGCAATCCCAATGTCAATCCCAATAGCAATCCCAATGTCAATCCCAATGTCAACCCCAATGTCAATTCCAATGGCAATCCCAATGTCAATCCCAATGGCAATCCCAATGGCAATCCCAATGTCAATCCCAATGTCAATCCCAATGTCAATCCCAATGTCAATCCCAATGGCAATCCCAATGGCAATCCCAATGTCAATCCCAATGTCAATCCCAATGTCAATCCCAATGGCAACGGCAACACGGAAGTCGTACCTAATGTTAGAGATTGTGGAAGTCACCTTGTCGGGGAGATCGTGGAGTATCCAGTGAGCAGCACTTAGTTCAAGCATGTGTGCGATGCTGGCAGTTTTGAGACATGTCAAGACTTCCCTTGTCAGAACTTTCCTTGTTCTGAGTGGTTTGAGCCAGCTCGAAGACTTACCTTTTCAAGGTTGGAGTATTCGGGCAGCAGCAGGTGGTTGAAGCATGTGTGCGCTGTTTTGAGACTTCTCAACACTCAGCTTGTTCTGAGTGGTTCAAGCATTGCCTTGTTCAGAGAGCTGTAAGACTCACCTTCTCGAGGTTGGAGTATTCAGGCAGCAGCAGGTGGTTGAAGCATGTGTGCGCTGTTGGTAGCCGGTCCGAGTCAGGACCTGATGGGTGGTGGTGGTGATCGGTGGTAAACTCATTCATTGTTGTAAAAGAAAGAAAGGCCCGCTGTTAAGAGACAAACAAAAGCAAGGTCACCCCCAGGTACTGACACAAAGATGCAGGTTATACACAAAAAAATGTAGTGAGAAATTGATGCGACATACACTGGGCCACCAGCAGAACAGCGACACTGACCGGCTCGGGAGATGACGAAGGGCAGCGAGGCGAGGCCCTTGATGGGCGCCCTGTCGCACCCCGTCACAAACGCCAGCAGACTCCTCTTCTCCGCGTCCTGCAATCCATGCACCACCTGGTGGGCGGTGGAGAGGGGAGGGTAGCGCGGGGAATGAGAGGTGCAAGAGAGGGTTGGAGGTGTGAACAAATCAACGCCAGCAGACTCCTCTTCTCTGCGTCCTGTAGCCCATGCACCACCTGGTGGGCGGGGGGAGGTGAGGTTGACAGGTGGTGGTGAGGGGAGATTGACCAACGCGAGGAGCAATGAGGTGAGTGAAAGTGAAACATGCGCGCGCACACACACAATCCCTGCAATAGGTGAGAGGAGAAGTCATGATGGCGCAATACAAGCAGGGTGGTGTGTCTTAGTCAGAGCATGCTCACATGAAACAGCATGGATGGTAACATGAAAGTGCATTAAACATCAAACCGCAATGGATTACCTTCCTCATGGATTACCATGCATCCTCATGAGGAAGGTTTTAATGACGGGAGACTCCTTGGTGTACCCATCCTCATGCCGTGCATTCCTCTCATACCGTGCACCGTGCATCCTCATACCACGATATACTTGGTGGCGAGTCCTAGGCAGTGCATGCACACATAATACCTTCCAGAAGTTCTTGATGACAGGCGACTCCTTGGTGTACCCATCCTCATACCGCGCGTTCCTCTCCCTGCACTCACAGGTGGCCACACATGCAATGCAAGCAACACCACGGAACAAACAGTACAGCACAGCAGGAACATGAAGCAGAGGCAGAATGAGTTTTGGAAGCCAAGTGTCTGGTCCGCTAAGGGTGGGAAGGAGGCAAGCCACATGTCCAAGCACCCAAATAAGATAGTTGTTTTGATTCTTTTATTTTTTGCTCTGGTGAATCCGAGCTCTGTGGTGGTAAGCTGCAGGGTGTTTTTAAGAATTCTCAAGGTGTTCTTAAAATTCTCAAAAACACCCTGCACCACATGTCCACCCTGCACCACATGTCCACCCTGCACCACATGTCCAAGCACCCGAGTAGGATGGTTGTTTTGATTCTCTTTACCAACTGGTGTGAATCCGAGCTCTGTGGTGTGGAGGTAAGCTGAGGTGTGCTGGAAAACTGCCACACCAGACACAGAGCCAGACACCGAGCCAGACACCGAGCCAGACACCATACACCATCCACAGACACAGCCTTGGCCTGCAACGATGCACCTCATTCCGAGCCAGCTCACAGGCACTCACTCACAGCTCCTCGTAGTCAAACACGGGGCTGCAGCAGATGAGGCAGCAGGGTGTTCTTGAGAATTCTCAAAAAAACCCTGCAGCTCACAGGCACTCACTCACAGCTCCTCATAGTCAAACACGGGGCTGCCGCACATGAGATGAGCAACTCGAGCTCGTCCAGGGTTGGAACAGGCGCAGCAACAATCACAGCGCCAACCCCACCCAACCACAAGCAAATCTATGCCCTGTGACGGAGCACCTAACTCCCAACTCAAAGCACTCACAGCTCATAAAAGTCAAAGACGGGGGAGGCGCAGATGAGCAGCTCGAGCTCGTTCGGTTGGAAGAGGTGCAGCACGGGGCCGCCACACAGAGCCAACCATCTACGGACAAGTGAGGTTTCACACCCTCACACTTGTCCCCTCCCCCACAAGGAAGCACTCACAGCTCCTCAAAGTCAAAGACGGGGGAGGCGCAGATGAGCAGCTCGAGCTCGTTCGGTTGGAAGAGGTACAGCACGGGGCCGCCAAACAGAGCCAACCATCTACGGACAAGTGAGGTTTCACACCCTCACACTTGTCCCCTCCCCCACAAGGAAGCACTCACAGCTCCTCAAAGTCAAAGACGGGGGAGGCGCAGATGAGCAGCTCGATCTCGTTCGGCTGGAAGAGGTACAGCACGGGGCCGCCACACAGAGCCAACCATCTACGGACAAGTGAGGTTTCACACCCTCACACTTGTCCCCTCCCCCACAAGGAAGCACTCACAGCTCCTCAAAGTCAAAGACGGGGGAGGCGCAGATGAGCAGCTCGAGCTCGTTCGGTTGGAAGAGGTACAGCACGGGGCCGCCACACAGAGCCAACCATCTACGGACAAGTGAGGTTTCACACCCTCACACTTGTCCCCTCCCCCACAAGGAAGCACTCACAGCTCCTCAAAGTCAAAGACGGGGGAGGCGCAGATGAGCAGCTCGATCTCGTTCGGCTGGAAGAGGTACAGCACGGGGCCGCCACACAGAGCCAACCATCTACGGACAAGTGAGGTTTCACACCCTCACACTTGTCCCCTCCCCCACAAGGAAGCACTCACAGCTCCTCAAAGTCAAAGACGGGGGAGGCGCAGATGAGCAGCTCGATCTCGTTCGGTTGGAAGAGGTGCAGCACGGGGCCGCCACACAGAGCCAACCATCTACGGACAAGTGAGGTTTCACACCCTCACACTTGTCCCCTCCCCCACAAGGAAGCACTCACAGCTCATCAAAGTCAAAGACGGGGGAGGCGCAGATGAGCAGCTCGAGCTCGTTCGGTTGGAAGAGGCGCAGCACGGGGCCGCCACACAGAGCCAACCATCTACGGACAAGTGAGGTTTCACAACCTCACACTTGTCCCCTCCCCCACAAGGAAGCACTCACAGCTCCTCAAAGTCAAAGACGGGGGAGGCGCAGATGAGCAGCTCGATCTCGTTCGGTTGGAAGAGGCGCAGCACGGGGCCGCCACACAGAGCCAACCATCTACGGACAAGTGAGGTTTCACAACCTCACACTTGTCCCCTCCCCCACAAGGAAGCACTCACAGCTCCTCAAAGTCAAAGACGGGGGAGGCGCAGATGAGCAACTCGAGCTCGTCTGGTTGGAAGAGGAGCAGCACCGCACCACGAGGCAAGCATAGCACCGACCAGCCGACCGAACAAGTATGAGCAACACTCACAGCTCATCAAAGTCGAACACAGGGGAGCCACAAATGAGCAACTCGAGCTCGTCCGGTTGGAACATTTTCAGCACCCGCCCCCCGCACAGGCGCAGGAAGCCGTGCGAGAACGGGCCGAACTGGCGCTCCACTAGCTTGTTCAGATGGAACTGTGAGACGCAGGGGGCGAGGTGGGGAGAGGGGCCGGGGTGGGTAGAGAAGGGAATGGGAGGTGCAGGAAGCCGTGCGAGAACGGGCCGAATTGGCGCTCCACTAGCTTGTTCAGATGGAACTGCGGTGGGGCAGAGGGGGCAGCCAGGAAAGCTTTTGAGTCGACTCAGAAGCTTGTTCAGATGGAACTGCGGTGGGGCAGAGGGGGCAGCCAGGAAAGCTTTTGAGTCGACTCAGAAGCTTGTTCAGATGGAACTGCGGTGGGGCAGAGGGGGCAGCCAGGAAAGCTTTTGAGTCGACTCAGAAGCTTGTTCAGATGGAACTGCGGTGGGGCAGAGGGGGCAGCCAGGAAAGCTTTTGAGTCGACTCAGAAGCTTGTTCAGATGGAACTGCGGTGGGGCAGAGGGGGCAGCCAGGAAAGCTTTTGAGTGGACTCAAAAGCTTGTTCAGATGGAACTGCGGTGGGGCAGAGGGGGCAGCCAGGAAAGCTTTTGAGTCGACTCAGAAGCTTGTTCAGATGGAACTGCGGTGGGGCAGAGGGGGCAGCCAGGATAGCTTTTGAGTCGACTCAGAAGCTTGTTCAGATGGAACTGTGGTGGGGCAGAGGGGGCAGCCAGGAAAGCTTTTGAGTCGACTCAGAAGCTTGTTCAGATGGAACTGCGGTAGGGCAGAGGGGGCAGCCAGGAAAGCTTTTGAGTCGACTCAGAAGCTTGTTCAGATGGAACTGCGGTGGGGCAGAGGGGGCAGCCAGGAAAGCTTTTGAGTCGACTCAGAAGCTTGTTCAGATGGAACTGCGGTGGGGCAGAGGGGGCAGCCAGGAAAGCTTTTGAGTCGACTCAAAAGCTTGTTCAGATGGAACTGCGGTGGGGCAGAGGGGGCAGCCAGGAAAGCTTTTGAGTCGACTCAAAAGCTTGTTGAGAGGGAACTGCGGTGGGGCAGAGGGGGCAGCCAGGAAAGAGCGGGAAGGAGGAGGGGACAGGGGGGCAAGACAATGATATGAGAGGCGCAGAAAGTGGTGGGAGAAGGGCCTAGCTTTCTCTCCGCCAGCTTATTTAGATGGAACTGAGGTGACGCGTGGGGACAGGGAAAGAGGGGAAAGGTGAAGGGGGGGGAAGGAGGAAGAGACGGGTACGAGAGTATGGGTCAAACTGGCGTTCCACTAGCTTGCCCTGACCCCTCCTGACCCACCCTGACCCGCCCTGACCCGCCCTGACCCACCCTGACCCGCCCTGACCCGCCCTGACCTGCCCACACCCCTCCTAACCCCTCCTGACCCCTTCTGACCCGTCCTCACCTGTCCTGACCGTCCTGCCCCTAAGCCTAAACCTGAATCTCTGTACTCACGTCCACCAGCAGCTCCACAAACTCCTCCCGGTTGCTGTTGGTGACAGGAAGGCTCTCGCCACCATCCTTGAGCGGCACCGTGGTGGGCGAGCCAAACACGTCCGTGTATGACGCCTCGAAGCACCATGAGTACACCTCCTGAGGGTGTGTGTGTGTGGTGGTGGTTAAGAAGGGGGGAGGGAGGGGGGAAGCGATGATTACATGCCGGGCGGGCAGCATGCACCTCTGACGAGCCAAACAGGTCCGTGTACGACGCCTCGAAGCACCACGAGTACACCTCCTGAGGGTGTGTGTCCGTTGGGGGGGGGGGGGGGGAGGAGCGCATTATCAGGTGTCCAAACCAGACAGCGTGCACCTCTTGGGAACCGCCTCAAAGCACCACGAGTACACCTCCTGACATGCGCGTGTGCGGGAAGAGGGTAAGGAGAGCAGAATCAGACTCTACAACCAGGCAGCATGCAAATGCCTGGCAGCATGGTGGGCGAGCCAAAGACGTGCGTGTAAGACGCCTTGAAGCACCATGAGTACACCTCCTGACACATGTGTGGTGGGGAGGAAGGGAAGGGGGATGAGGCCTTAAGTGGAGAGGGTCGATGGCCATGACGTTGATGCAAGATGCATGCACAACCTCCCCCCCACCTCCCCCCCACCTCCGATGAAATTTATTGGATTTGAAACGCAGCAAGCCTGCTAAGAGTAACGATCTGAGTCTACTAATCTGAAAATCGAGGCAAGTAGCGAGAAAAGGTCTACTAATCAGAAAGCCAGACACATTAGGCCTGCACGCGTGTGAACGCGTTTCGGCCAGCAAAGGCCTTAATCAGCACACTAAGGATCAAGCAAACTGACTACGAATCCTTTCTACTCCCTCCCTCCAGGAGCCATCAAGCTGAAAGCTTCTTCGTGCGACTCCAGTGAAGCGCTTTGCCAGCTACTGATTCTAGCTGTCAAGTTCAACAAGTACTCATGCACCGTGGGAACCTCCAGGAGGTTGGTCACCATCTATTGGGCGACCACCAACTGGTTACAATTGTTCCCATCTACACTATTTTAGCTATTACTAATCTATTACAAATTTTGCTAGGTAACTTCCATGCTGTAACGAACCGAGGGTATCTAAGTCCATGATGCTGCAGGGTGTTTTTGAGAATTCTAAAAAACACCCTGTTTTTGAGAATTCTCAAAAACACCCTGATGCATGCACAACCTCCCCCCCACCTCCCCCCCACCTCCCCCCCCACCTCCCCTCCTCCCCTTGCCCTCACCTGCTCTTACCTAACTGCACATACCTGCACCTAACTGCACATACCTGCACCTAACTGCACATACCTGCACCTGTGTGCACCGCACCTGCCAGGGCTCACCTCAACGTTGCCCTGGAATGCCAGCAGCCCCTTGAGCCCTCGATGCAGGTCCGGGTCCACCTGCAATGGTGGTGCGGGGACAGGTCCGGGACAGGTCGGGGACAGGTCCGGGACAGGTCGGGGACAGGTCGGGGACACACATGGGCACGAGAGGTTTGCCTTCCCCATGGGAGCTTCAACTAGCCAAGAATTGGTGGCTCAGCTAACAGCCACAATGCAGCTTACCCTATCGAAAAAATGCCCCCCAGATTCGTGGAAACAGGCCATACGACTGAGGCACGACAAAAGGGCACCGGGAGAAGGGGCGGAGGGAGAAGGGATGCAGGGAGAAGGGGTACAGTGTGCAGTGCAGGGAAAAGGGGTGCAGAAAAATAGGGGAAAAGGGACACCGGAAAGGAAACTGGACGGACGGGCAACTCACTCCGGCTAGATCGTCCAGGCAGGTCTTCTTCCCCAGGAGCTTCTTGTAGACCACAAGGGGGAAGCTTATATCGAGGATGTGGGCGTTGTAGATGGCGAGTCCCAGCACGGTGCCGACGAGCTCAAACTCGAGTGGCATGTCGATGGGTGATGCGCTGAACCAGAAGGAGCGGGTTGTTTCGTTGTACGTGAACATGCCAAACTGCAGCCGGGAACGCGTGGGGGATGAGGAGGTTGGGCCAGAAGAGAGGGGGGTTTTTTGAGAATTCTCAAAAAACACTCAATAATTGCTCAATTCTGGAAAGACCGGGGGGAAGGAAGGAGGGAAGCTGAAGGATATGCAGCAGAGTAGGGTAAGAGGGCCAGGGGAGTGAACGGGCTGTGCACCAAGACCCTGGCGACCCTGCTAATTATTGAAGGAGCATTCGAGTAGGAATGCTTACGATTCGCCGTGTTGCATCGAAAAGAGGTATGCAGCTGGAGGCCCTTTTTGCAATGAGGCCCTTTCCAGAGACCAAACACACAGTATGAATTTATCAAAGGTGTGTGTGGTGTGGTGGGGTGCCTCTAAAGACGTACCTTAGCGTCAACAATGTCGCGCATGACGAGCTGGAAGAACTCCTTCTGCTCCGTCCAGGTTGAGCCACCTTTTTGCATGCCACCCTCTAGAGGCTGAGGCGGTTGAGTTGAGGCGTACATAGAGCACCACAAAAGACGTACCTTAGCGTCAACAATGTCGCGCATGATGAGCTGGAAGAACTCCTTTTGCACACCGCCCTCGTCCACCCCCTCCTCGCCCACAAACTTTACCTGCTCTCCCATCGGGGGGGATATGGGAGGGTGCATATGGGGGCGTGAGGTGCACATTTGAGTCCACATTTGGAAGGAGTTGAAACGAGGGTGGTGAAACCAGGGTTTTGGAAACAGTTGCCTTGCCATCAGGGTTGTGAGATTGAGACTCGAACAATAGGTGTGAAGGAGGGCGGTGGGATGACACTGTGCGTGACGCGTCTCACCTTGAGCGGTTTTTTCAAGTCCCCTGCATGTTGTTGCACCTGCACGCACGGGGAGAGGAGTGAGAGTAGTGAGGAGAGTATGGAGAGAAGGGTAAGGTGAGGGTGAGCGGGAGAGTGAGGAAGAGAGTGAAGAGGAAAGCGAGTATGAAACAAAGAAAAGAGCGAACCAAGATGACACCGCGCCGAGCGCGAGAGAGGAGAGGAAAGAGCAACGGACAGGACGGGAAAAAGGGCGATTGAATTGAAGGAAGGAGAGTCAAGGAGTATGCGTGCAGAAAGCAGTGCGCCTGCCTGCCTGCAAGCCCCCTGAGCACGTGAGGTGAGACCAATGAAACTGAAAGTGAGCAATCATCATGCTCTCTCAATACACCCCTACCTGCAGGATGGCTACCTGCAGAATCAAATCTATCACACCACCTGCAGAATCGAATCTATCACACCACCTGCAGAATCGAATCTATCACACCACCTGCAGAATCGAATCTATCGGTGAGGCCCGAAGGCAGCAGAGCATACTCTCTCAATACACCCCATATCTGCCTGCAGGATGGCGTCTTCAACGATGTGGTCTCGCCGCATGATGTCTTCAACAAAGAGCACACAGTAGCTGTTGCCCATGTACGCGCCTGAGTGCCCCCTGGGAGGCCCAGCCACGTCCAGTGAACCTGGGAGAGACAGGCCAGCATGCTCTCTCTCAATGCACACACACACCACCTGGGAGAGATATATTGGAGTGACTTTTGAGAATTCTCAAAAGGACAGCATGCTCTCTCTCAATGCACACACACACCACCCCCTACCTGCAGGATGGCGTCTTCAACAATGTGATCATGGCGAACAATGAGCACACAGAAGGGGTTCGCCATGTGCGCGCCCGTGAGGCCCCTGAGCGTCCAGCACAGCATGCTCTCGCATGATAGCAGCCCCTTACCTGCAGCCAACACAGCCACCTACCTGCAGGATGGCGTCTTCAACAATGTGATCACGGCGAACAATGAGCACACAAAAGGGGTTGCCCACGTGCGCGCCTGTCATCCCTCTGAGCGCCATGCCCAGCAGTGCATCGTGGAAGCGGTGGGACATCTCCACCCGCGACTCCACCTGCAGCACTGCTGCCTTGCTGGCTGCCTCGAGGATGTATGGGTGCTCGCACAGGGTGAAGGGGTCCAGATACCTGAAAGGAAAAGGGGGGAAATGAGAAGGAGTGAAGAAGTATCTGCACAGCGGTACATGCATCTTGCTTTGCAGTTCAAGGTTCGCTATGTGCGGGTGCGCCCTCAGCGCCATGCCCAGCAGGGCATCGTGGAAGCGGTGGGACATCTCCACGATGCACTGTTGATGGGCTGCCTCTCTCACCTCCTTTGTTCGACCTTTTATCCCATCCCATCCCTAGCCCCCCCCACCGCACCCACCTGTCGTGGTGCTTCCACTTGCTGTACTGTAGTCCTGCTCCAGGTCCACAGGCTCGCCACAGGTGCGTACCTCACGCCAGCCCACTGCACTGCAACCCACCCCACCCCACCCACCTGTCGCGATGCTTCCACTTGCTGTAGTCCTGCTCCAGGTCCACAAACTCATCGCTGTTGAGGGCGTCGTTGCAAGAGTGCAGCAGCTGATGGCCCCTCCCCTCTTGTTCGCCCCACCACACCACACCCCACCCCACCGCACTGCACACCTCCCCACCACACCAGACCCCACCCCACTCCACCGCACCCACCTGTCTCTGTGTTTCCACTTGCTGTAGTCCTGCTCCAGGTCCACAAACTCGTCACTGTTGAGGGCATCGTTGTAGAACGCCGAGTGTGGCAGCTGATGGCCCCTCTCGTTCGCCGCGACTGCCACCAGTGGTGGGGGTGGGGGCAAAAGCAGGGGCACAAGCAGGGGCACAAGCAGGGGCACAAGCAGGTGCACAAGGCACACAAGGCACAGTTGTGCGAGGGTGAATGGAGATTGAAGAGCAGAGGGCAGAGGACAGGGTGAGTGTGGCAGCTGATGCCTTTCTCGTTTGCTGCGACTGTTTTTTAAGCCGACTCGAAAAATAGCCGATGACTTTCTCATTTACAACTGTCTCTCCAACTCGCTAAACCTGCTCCTAGTCTGGAGATGTCAAACAAACTGTTTTTTAATCGACTAAAAAATAGCCGATGACTTTCTCATTTGCCACAACTGCCACCAGTGGTCAGAGCACAAAGACACACAAGGCACAAGTGGGGCCAGGACCAAAAACAGCAGGTGTAGAAACAACAGGTGCAGAAACAACACGAGCAGCAGGAGAAGTGGCAGTTGCACTAGCAGCAGCAGCAGCAGCAGCAACAGCAGAAGCAACAATAGCAGCAGCAGGAGAAGAAGCAGCGGGAGCAGAAGCAGCAGGAGGAGCAGCAGAAAGAGCAGCAGCAGGAGCAGCACTCACAGAATATCCCGAGCACACGAGTGGCGAACTTGACAGTGTCAACGAGGCGGTGGGCCTCGTAGAGCTGGATGGTGATCACATGCTGTGCCGTCTCCACCATCTGCTGTAGGTGCGCTCGCTCGTAGCTGCTCGTGGGGGGGAGAGGAGAATAAGGAGCAGGGACACTGGGATTGGTGTTTGTGTTCCTGTCTATGGGCTGTTGGAGTGTGCTGTGCTCGCACTCGTACAGCTGAATGGTGATCACATGCAGTGCCGTCTCCACCACCTGCTGCAGATGCCCGCACTCGTAGCTGTTAGCTACAGGGTGAAGAGAGTAAGGAGGAGTAAAGCCAGTTGGGAATGGCGGCCACCGGTCACACATTGCTGCCCTTGTGGGCCTCGTACGGCTGGATGGTGATCACATGCTGTGCGGTCTCCACCACCTGCTGTAGATGCGCATGCGCGCACTCGTAGCTGCTTGGTTTTGAAGAGGTGGTGAGAAGCGGGGGAAGGACGAAGCAGGGGAGCGAGGGAGGGAGGGAGGGAATGAGGGATGGATGGTGATCACGTGCTGCGCCGCCCGACCGTCTCCATCACCTGCTGTAGATGCCCGCGCTCGAAACTGCTTGGTTGTGGGGAGCTGGTGAAGAGCTTGCTCCTCCGTTTGACAGCAAGGGAGTGAGGCAGTCAGGAAGAAAGGGAGAGAGGGAGGGAGGGAAGGAGAGAGGAGGGTGGGAAGCATGGATGGTGATGACGTGCTGTACTTTAGGTGCCCGTGCTCGTAGAAGCTTGCAGGGATGAAGGGGAGGAGTAGGTACTGCAAGAGTGGTGCCTTTGCAGGGACCTAACAGACTGCAGCGGATGCTCGTGGGAGGAGGGAGCAAGGGTAGCAGGATTGGTGCTTGCGACAGTGCAATAGTGCAACGCCATGCAAAGGGACAGATACTCGCCTGGGGAGGGGCGCAAGGGAGGGACGGAAACTTGCCTGGCGAGGGTGCAACAGTGCAACGCCATGCAAGGGAGGGACGCAATCACTTGCCTGGCAAGGGTACAGATGAGATGTTGGTGGGGCAGCAGAGGAAGGTATATTCGTGTGACTTTTGAGAATTCTCAAAAGTCACACGAATATAGTTGGGGGTCCAGCAGCAGCTTGCACAGGCGGCGACTTCTGAGGTGCCTCAAAGGTCGCCTCGTGAGTGGGGAAAGGGATGCATACACTTGCCTGGCGAGAGTGATGATGCATCAGCACCAGCGCCGCCATGCACGGGACGAATACTCGCCTGGCGAGGGTGCAGATGAGCTGCTGGCGGGGCAGTGGCGGCAGGTCCAGCAGCAGCTTGCACAGGCGGCGGTACAGCGGATGGTTCTCGGGCTCCATTAGGAAAGGGCTCTGGGGGGAGAGGGAGGAGACAGATGAGGGGCAGGAGGGGCAGGAGAAGCACAAGCAACACAGATTCAACAGGAGCTTGCACAGACGGCGGTACAGCGGATGGTTCTTGGGCTCCATTAGGAAAGGGCTCTGGGGGGAGAGGGAGGAGAGAGATGAGGGGCAGGAGGGGCAGGAGAAGCACAAGCAACACAGATTCAACAGGAGCTTGCACAGACGGCGGTACAGCGGATGGTTCTCGGGCTCCATGAGGAAAGGGATCTGGGGAGATGATGTGTGCGGGAGGAGGGGCAGGAGGGTCAGGAGGGTCGGGAGGGGCAGAGGGGCAGGAGAAGCACAAGCACACATAGTTCAAGAGGTCTGTTGAGAAACAAGCGGCGGCACAGTGGATGGTTCGCGGGCTCCATGAGGAAAGGACTCTGGGGAGATGAGTGAGAGGAGGAGAGAACTCAGATTTGAAGGAACTTGACGTGACGAAACACAGCATCCTGGCGGGCAGCAGCGCTGCGATCATCGGGGCGTGCCCTTGTCTCTGAAGCAAGCAGGGCACAGGGCATGTCGGCTGGGACCGCGTGACTCACGTCGAGCAGGAAGAGCAGCGAGCGCATGACAGCTGGCGACGGCTCATCCGAGTCTCGCCCTGCAGCCTCTTCCGCTGCAGCCGCTGCCAGCGAGTCCACCTTCCTCTTCGCACTGCCCGACGCCCCTGCCGTTGCTCCTGCCGCCGCCGCTGCTGCCTCTGCTGCTGCTGCTGCTGCTGCTGCTGCTGCTGCACCTGCCTCCACCGCTCCTGCTGCTCCTGTGTCCACATCAGCTGCTGCACCCGTGGGGGCTTCACTGGCCGGGCTTTCGGACGACGGAGCAGCGGCAGTTGACGGCAGTGCAGGTTGCGAATCAACGTCCATGGCAGTGGTGGCGGTGGTGGCAGTGGTGGCAGTGGTGGCGGTGGTGGCAGCGGTTGCAGCAGTGGTGGCAGCAGTGGTGGTTGTGACATCATCCCTCTCACTCCCAGCCGTGGCAGAAGTCGCAGCGGTGGTAGCAGTGGCAGGTGCAGGGAGAGAGACAAGGGCAGGAGGACGGGAGGGTCGCGGGTGGGTGGGGAGGTGGTGGCCGAGAGTAGAGGAAGGCGCAGAGGGCATGGCTTGGGCGAGCTCTGTCAGCAGCCGGTCACTGGCTCGCACCACTGCTGCTACCACCTCGTCACCCTGTGGTGAGGGGGGAAAGGAGAGGGTTGAAACTTGAGTGGGCGCTGAAATGAGTGCAGAGAGAGTGGAGGAGGGAGCGGAGGGCATGGCTTGGGCGAGCTCTGTGAGCAGCCGGTCGCTCGTTCGCACCACTGCTGCTGCCACCTCGTCACCCTGTGGTGCAGAGTGAGGGTGCGTGGTGATAGAATTGGAACTGAACTGATTGATTAGGAAAGAAGGCACTAGGCCTTAAGTACAAACGAGGTTGGGATGGGCAAGGCTAGGGAAAGGATGGGATGGGAATCCTAGCAAATCTCCAATTGGTGAGTTGGCAGATTTGCAGGATTACGAGGGAATCCCAACCAGATAGGGTTGGGATCACAAACTACACCCAACCCGCAAATAACCTACGCGATATAGAATATAGTACACAAAGTGTTGACAGCCTAATTCTAACACGTGGATTGAGAGGGGGCTTGATTGACTGACTGAGGGAGCAGGATGTTAAATGGGCGAGGCTTTGGCTTGGAACGGCGTGGATATTCCTAGTAAAAGAGAGGGCGAGGCAACAAGAGAGAGCGACCCCAGCGGTGACAGGGGCGCAGCAGCACAGACAATCCGCTTGGCACAGTGCTGTGTGAATGGAACCTGTGAACCTGTGAACCTGTGAACCTGTGAACCTGTGAACATGTGAACCTGTGAACCTGTGAACCTGTTCTGTTCTACAACTCACCAGATTCGCCACTCCATCGTAGAACAACTTCACAGTCGCCGAGTCGATTCCTGATCACATGGTGTGGTGGAAACAATGAAACAGGAGGAGATGATTGCATTAGGAGACGGATGAGGCGATATGACATCAGGAGAGTTTTGAAGGATGCATTAGGTGACAATGCATCAGAAAACGGGATGAGAACTGAAGGAAATAGCCCCGCCAGGGCATTTTCCTCATCCATATTCCATCCCTGCCACCCTCCTAACCCTCCACTACCTCTCGATGCCCAAAACCCCTCCATCCACCCCTCTCATACCGCATTCCCTCGATCACCCAAAAGGTTGCCTTTGGAGAGCCCCTCCGGCATGCCCAGGAACACCAGACTCACTCAATTAAGAGTCAACTTGAAATTCCACTCAATGCCCAAAACCCCTCTCTGTAACACTCCCATGCCCCACTCAATCACTCACCCACCACACTCAACTACCACATTCCCCACTCTCCCAGTAAATTGCCTTTATGAAGACCGGCCTGGCCAGGAACACCAGGCTCACAAATTCTAGAGTCGACCAGCTCGAAACCCCTTCATCCACCCCAATCGTGCAGCGTTTCCGCAATCAGCCACACTTTACCTATCGCACTAAATTACAGCATTTCCCCACTCACCCAGCAGGTTGCCTTTGGAAAGTCCTTCCGGCATGGCGAGGAACACCAGGCTCACAGCGTCTGCTGACGACAGCACCTTGGAGATCAGCTCTGCCACGTGGCGGCTGTCCTGGGCTGCACTGCTGGCCCTCGCTGCCCTGCTGGCACGCGCCCTGGAGATTGCTGCTAGGAGCTCCGCTGGAGTGGGGTGTGGACCAACCAAGCGAAGCATGGGGCAGATAATTTTTTTGGTGTTTGTTGAGACGTTAAAAGAAAAAAAAAGACGCGTCTCAAAAGTCTGCTGCCACGCGCCTTGGAGATTGCTGCTAGGAGCTCCGCTGGAATGGGCGGGGGGGTCACTCAAGCCAAGAATGAGGGCGGAGGATGAAGGGCACGCATGAGTGGGTATGTCATGCCATGTCAGCAGCAAGAGGATTGTGAATTGAAGGAGATTTGAGGTCAATGTGTGAGGACATGAGCTTCGTCCATGGCTTCATTCGGACATCAGCTTCGTCCATGGCTTCATTCGGACATGAGCTTCGTCCATGGCTTCATTCGGACATGGGCTTCGTCCATGGCTTCATTCGGACACGAGCTTCGTCCATGGCTTCATTCGGACATGAGCTTCGTCCATGGCTTCATTCGGACATGAGCTTCGTCCATGGCTTCATTCGGACATGAGCTTCGTCCATGGCTTCATTCGGACATGAGCTTCGTCCATGGCTTCATTCGGACATGAGCTTCGCCCATGGCTTCATTCGGACATGAGCTTCGTCCATGGCTTCATTCGGACATGAGCTTCGCCCATGGCTTCATTCGGACATGAGCTTCGTCCATGGCTTCATTCGGACATGAGCTTCGTCCATGGCTTCATTCGGACATGAGCTTCGTCCATGGCTTCATTCGGACATGAGCTTCGTCCATGGCTTCATTCAGTGTGTGGAGATTTCAAATGTACTGAACCTAATGGGGAAATCAAGAAAGTGGGGATGCGCAGGCAATAAAACGAAGAAAAGGAGAAGAAGAAAAATGATGTCGCAAAAAAAAAAAAGACAAAAAAAAAGGTAGCCGACAGAAGATTTGTCAGGTTGAATTTAAGAGTTCTCGCACCACCCTAGACTGTAAGGGTTTTATATATTTTCAATAACACCCTAGCGCTTCTAAATAACAAGGAGGTGCCAGCAATAGTTATCGCGGGCAAAACAGCCCATGCGAGCAGGGAAGGTAGGGTGTGCACAAGGAAGAAGAATGAAAGGGAAAAGGAGGGACTGTACCCCGTAAAAGGGGAGGAGCGTGCATGTGTACAAACCTTTTCCCATGGCGATCTTCAGATAAAATAAAAAGAGAGGAGTACACAAAGCATCCATAGCACAATAAAGGAGAAGCATGCATGTGCACCAACCTTTCCCCATGGCAATCTTCAGAGCAAGCGCTGCAGCGTCGTTGGGAGCGAAGCCTAGCTGATGGAGGCTCTCGAAATTGCTGCAAGGACCAAGTGAGAAGCACAAAATTGACACCAAATGTAGAGCTGCAACTGTAGCACCAGATAAGGAGCTAGAGCTGTATCGCTGCAATTGTTACACTTGAGATGAGGTACAGCTGCAACACCACAACTGCGATTGTCATATTATTTATTATGATTTCCGTGACTTTTCGCGGTCTGCTCTCGTCAGAATTCATTTATACCATGTCTCAAACAAGAACCCCTTACTTTTTCACCGTGAGCGCGAAGCTCTCCTTTGCCGTTCCGCCTTCAGCGGCCCCTGCCGTTGTGAGTGAGGATTCATGATACTCGTCCCCCATGGACCCACCACTTGCCGTCACGGATGAAGAATGACAAGAAGCTCAGATACGTATGAAATGGCAGAATTCAACGTAGAGGCACGCTATGTTCCACTATTCCGAAGCTGATTTGTGGTGGGTCTAAGTGGTGACGCTGTTTCTCTTCGGCTAATAATTGCTAATGGAGAGCATGTGGTAAGAGCAACTAGGAGAAAACGCAGCAACGTGAAACGCGCTGAAAGAGACGTAAATTTGAAGTGGTAATAAACGTTACTTGTGGAGTGTGGTGTCTAGAAGAAAAGGTTTAGTGTGCTAGATTTAAGATTTTCAGATTTGGTTGGTGTACAGTCGTTGACTCTTTTCAATAGTTTCAACAGGTAGGGTTCAATATCTCAGCCAAAGGTTCTGCGACGTTTGCGAACGATACGAACGCTTGCGGAGCTGTTTCGGAACGACGTTGCCTCTGGTAACCACATCGCGAGAGCACAGTGCAACACAGTGCAAAAAGACCGTAATCAGGGCGCGTGCGATCTATTTTCAAGTTACGAAAATAAGTGGAAGTTTGTGTGGTTACCAGCTTCGCCATTGTCGTCAAGACGCTTTAGCGAAGGCACGAGAATTTTGGGGGCACATAAGTGCGAATGTCATATGTGAACTCAACTCGAATCACACGGGTGAACGTGCGGGTGCACGTGAGGCGAGTGTGTGTTGTTTCAGCACGTACGAAGGCCATCTGAAAATCACGAATGCTTTGCGAAGATCGCGGAGTTTGTCGCACACTAAGTTGACGTGTCGTGCTGTACCAGGTAACCCATACCCCCTACGGGCGGCTCGCCGCCTTCCCTAAAAGGTCGAATCTCTGTGTTCGACCTTGGGTGTGTGATTGTGACTCGTCTGTGTTGGAGACCCAAGATTCGAACTTCGCTGCAAGGAAAGTCGAGTTTTGTTCAAATGCTACATTCGATCTAAAAACATCAACTTTCACAGATTTGTAAGACCACACGCGCCCTTACCCAAACCCAATTCCCACCGACCGACCTTCTGACATCCAAACATCCGTCAGTTTTGAAAGCCCGCGCAAATGAGCGGTCAAGATTGCACCGTCCTTCAGTGGCTTCGAGAAGCCTCACAGGTTGGCGCCAGTCAGGTCGGGTCCACCTGTTTCGCCAGTCGACCTGAAAGGAATTTGATCCTCTGAGAGAGGATGAAAATGAAAGTGCAGCAGTGCTACTTGATTTCTCAGTTTGAATCTGAGTCTGAGAAACCTTTCAGGAAGTAGCAAGTATGGCGTCACGTCTGCTATCTGGCGTCGCCCTGCTAATTTTTTACGCGCTTTGCGGTGAGTTCCACCTTGTTCTATGTGCTGTCTGGTTTTCTTTCTTCTCTCCTTTTTTTCCCTCTTTTTTTAGGCCAGTCACCACCATCACGGGTTGTTTTGTGCAGTGGCGGCGAAGACTGAGAAGGATGTCACCCAGCTTCAGATCGGCGTCAAGGTAAACCAAAGGCTCTTTACCGGCACATGTTACGCACATTATATCGCATATCCCTAATCACGTGCAACTTTCACCGTTCGCAGCCTGCACTACTTGATTGCACTACTTAATCATGTTTCACCATTGATCCGTGGGGTGTTTCCTGGTGGGTGATGGCAGTTCAAGCCCAAGGACTGTCCGCGCAAGGCTAAGAACCTCGATACTGTCAAGGTTCACTACAAGGTGAGCGTCTGTTTCGTCCACGCAGAAATCTAGGGCCGTGCATTGCGGGTCGCACATCAACTCACACGGTTCCGTCGCGTTTCTTTGAACAGCCAATTAAGAGTAGAAAGCAAGGATTGGGAAGGAACGTAGTGAGATATTACTGGCGATAATTCAGTGGTGCCGATTGTACGGCGAATCAGGTCGTCGTCGAATACCTGTTGCAGCGATACCTACTGTTTTCGGACTTCAACTGACGAAGAGGTCTGGTAGGACTAAACGACTGACACCTGAAGCTCGACTAGACGGACTGACACTTATAACATAATTAAGGGGCTGACGCTTGAAGCACGGTCAGGCAAACTGACGCTTACAGCACGACAAGACGGATTGACGTGGCTTGGACCTTGGTAGAACGGGTGATGACGGAAGCGAATTTCGGTCCTCCAATGCGATTCGTGTCCTGTGGCGGAGTAAGTCAGAGTCGCGCCTGTTGCGTCAGACTCGTTCGTTGATCCTAGTAGTACGTGGTCCACTTTCGTTTTTTTCCAGAAATCCCTAAAAACAAGTCTTCGCGGATCAAGTCAGACATTGCTCTCCAGCAGTCGGCGAAGCATAGAAAAAGCACGGTTATCGTTAGCACGCAACGCTTGCGATGGGTGGAGAGCATAGAGCAGTGCAGTCTTGTATACCCTCCAAGTAACCGTTGCGTTGTATTCGCAGTTGCCTTTCCGAATGCACACGGAAGAACTTCCAGATAGTCTACATGTCGATCTGTCCTAACTCTGACGTGTCCTAATCCTGACGCGTCCTGACGTGTCGAACCCTGTCGCTCACGTTGCGCGTGCAGGGCATGCTCACGGATGGCACTAAATTCGACTCCAGCTACGACCGCAACGACCCCTTCGAGTTCCGCCTTGGCATGGGCAACGTGATCAAAGGTGAGAGACAGAAGTGCGATCGCTGGCTGTCAAGCAATGCGATAACTAGGTAAGTTCACGAAAGTCGGTCGAGCTTGAGGCGGTCTTAACTCCTACAAAAAGCCTTGTAGTGAAAGAAAACCAAACAAGGCGATACCTTTGGAGGCAAGTTGCGCCGGTTTCGTTACACCCTTGTCTGGAAGTATGGTTGCGTTCCTTATTCATGTCCAACCGCTATGGCACGAACATTCCTCTGAACGTCCCCCTGACCGTCCCTCTCTCACGTGACAGGGTGGGACATTGGCATCCTCGGCATGTGCATTGGCGAGAAGCGCAAGCTCAAAATCCCGCCCCACATGGGCTATGGCGAGAACGGCTCTCCTCCTAAGATTCCAGGTGAGTGCTTAAGTCATTCGTGTTTGCCCCGGTTTATCTATACAGGATGTTTGATTTTTGGTGTTTCCACTCGTTGGGTGCAATCTTTTGACGCATACACCAGACAATCGAACTATTGAGAGAGTTAATAAAGACTGGGCATTTCAAAGCTATCACGGCTTCTCTTGCTTGCATCCCTCTACCCTCCATCCTCCTTCCCCCTGTTCCCCCAAACCCTTCTTTCCCTGCAATTTGACTTGCACCATACTCCTCCATCACTCTAAACTGCTGCGAGGTGGCGCAACACTTGAAATGGAGCTGGTTTATGTCATGCATGTGGCGGAGGAGGAGCTGGGCGTCAACCACTCACCTCTCTTCCCCTCCCTCCCCCAACTCCCGCCCTTCCCTCCCTCCCTCCCTCCCTCCCTCCCTCCCTCCCTCCCTCCCTCCCTCCCTCCCTCCCTCCCTCCCTCCCTCCCTCCCTCCCTCCGTCCCTCCCTCCGTCCCTCCCTCCGTCCCTCCCTCCCTCCCTCCCTCTCTCCTTCCCTCCCTACCTCCCTTCCTCCTTCCTTCCCTCCTTTTCCTCCCTCCTCCGTGCCTGCAGGTGGAGCGACACTCATCTTTGAGACGGAGCTGGTGGACATAGTGGATGTGCCGGACGAGGAGGAGCCGGAGGATGAGGACTTCAATGATGAGGACATTGACGACACGGACCCCCAGGGGGAGGAGGATGATGATGACGAGGACTTCGATGAAGATGATGAGTTTTACAAGAGAGATGATGATCGCGAGTTGTGAGAAGTGTAATTTTAGGTGAATTTCAAAGTTCTTTTGAGGAGTTTACGGAGATACCGTAGTGCTCTGGAATCGGATTGTGCTGCTTCTTACAGGCTGGTAAACTGATTCAACTAGTAGAGCGGAGCTATTGCTGCATTACGAATGTAAGGCATTGTTCCATGGCAGAATAATCATTTTCCGGGATATGAGCAGAATTTCAATATCAGACAGGCATGGCACACTGATCTGCCAAGCAAGGTGCATCAAACTAGAAGTACCCTAGTGTGTGAGGATGCTCAAGCAACACTTGCCAGTGAGGTGAGGGGGAGCAAAATTCATTTATTGGAGTGACCAGGCATTTGATTTGTATGCATGTGACAAATACGGTAAGTCATGAATAATGGTGAGCATTGAGCAGTCACATGTTATGCCAACACAAGGCCCAGGTTTCTGCTTTGATGGCAGATGCATGGGGACTCTTTAACACCTTCCGTCACTATGCCTGTCTCATTACTCTCAGACGCTTTCCACAACGCCGGGATTTGCTTCTTCATTTCATGAATGTTTGCTATAACATAATCTGCTCCTGCTGATGATTGTGATGTTCCTACCTGCATGGAATGAAAACCATATGCAGGCAGACGTCAAGGAATCATTAAGCAGGGACGACGAGACATTCTTTAGTAGGGTGACAGCACCAGTCAAGGAAGCATCAGGGGAGCGAAGATGAGAATGGGTACGGTAGTAGTACTAAAATGCACTGGCAAAAAGGGTTCAAGCTTGTGAGAAGGGTTCAGCCCAGCAGGACATACCAGAACTGTATGCATGCCAAATCTCTTGGCCGCTGAGATGTTGCGGGTGCTGTCATCAAAGAATATCTGCAGCACAAGACACGGAATAGTTATATGGGATCAGTCAGGACAGTTAAGAGTGCAATGGGTCGTTTGGAAAGCAACATGTCTTGTTAGGTGGTGCCACACAGTATTGGCATCGCCATAAACACAGCCAGACAGCCAAGGTAGATTCTGAAACTTACCTTTCTTTTGGGCTTACTTCGCTGCGACCAAAAGAAAGGAAGATTTTGCCAGTGCTAATGGTCAGATGTCAGTGGCGAAGCGAGCAAGGCACAAGAACCAGCGTACTCACGAATGAGTTCCGAGTCAGCATCAGCCGCATAGTGAAGGCGCAAGAGGGATTTCACACAAGCAGCACGCCGTGCAGAGAGCGGGAATTCAGAGAGGATGGGAGCAGCGGGGACATACCGATGAGTGCGGGTCAGCGCGTGCGATGCCAACCACTGCGCGGTGAAACGCCTCAGCCTGGGGCTTGCAGCAGATGAGTGGTCCGGCCGGACTCATCCACGACTGCGCCACTGCAGATGCTGCAGCAGCTGCTGCTGCTGGTGTTGGTTGTGGTGGCGCTGCTGCTGCTGCTGCTGCTGGAGAAGCTGCTGCTAGCCTGGCGGCGTCACGATGAGTGAGTGCAGAAAGAGGGTGTGCAGAGGCATGCTCCACCAGTGCATCTGCACTGACGCAGCGGCGACTGTTGCAGCGGAAAGGTAGCACCTGGGGGAGGTTCACCTGTTTTGATTCCTGCTGCTCTAAACCCCGCTGCTGCTGCTGCTGCTGCTGCTGCTCACTTGGTCCTTCTTGCTGATCCTGGATACTGATTGGTAGCAATCGCTCTGGAGAGCTGCTGCCACTGCTGCCATTACTGCAATCGCTCGACAAGTTAGCCGAGGGCAGGGAGGCAGTGGAGGAGGCAGAGGGAATGGGAGGCAGGGAGGACGGCAGCAGACCATGGTCGGAGTCCAGAAGATAGTCAGAACCGTCAGATCCATCCGAGCCATTAGGGAAGTCAGGACCGTGAGTGGTGTCAGAGGTGCACGAGGGGCGGAAGTTGTTTCGGAGGTTGAAGTTCTGGGAGGGTTGCTGTGCCATGACTTCTTCAAATGAAATCACAGCATCAAAGCAGCCCTCCAGGCCCAGCAGACGCAGGCAGTGGCTAGCGTGCATGCGATCAGCGTTGGTGAACACCTGTGAGTGGGGATATGGGCGGACGGAGGTGGAAGGGTGGAGGAGGGGAGTTGCGGAAAAAAGAATGGGTGAAAGGACGTGATAGCGAATGGGCTGGGACAGCCCTCCACACTGAGCAGAGGCATGTGGTGAGCAGCGGCATGTGGTGAGCAGCGGCATGTGGTGAGCAGCGGCATGTGGTGAGCAGCGGCACGTGGTGAGCAGCGGCACGTGGTGAGCAGCGGCATGTGGTGAGCAGCGGCATGTGGTGAGCAGCGGCATGTGGTGAGCAGCGGCATGTGGTGAGCAAGTGCACGTGCTATAAAGCTGCTTATTCAGGATACCAATACAGATAGGCATGGTGAGTGGCGTGCAGCCACTGCATTCACTGATGTAAGAGGGCAATCAGAGACCGGAGTCCATGCCATTGCTCCTGCAAGCCCACCGTGAACTACGCATGCTTCGTCTGATCCGATGCTGGTAAACTGAGGGACTTACGAATTTGCGTTGAGGAAGCGAATCAAGGAGGTGCCTCAAGGCGGGGTCTGGCTTCAGCAGGTGGTATGGCAGTCGGCCGTGGACGAACCTGCAGGGATGAGGAAGGCGGGGTGACGAGGAAGACGGGGTGACGAGGAAGACGGGGTGACGAGGAAGACGGGGTGACGAGGAAGACGGGGTGACGAGGAAGACGGGGTGACGAGGAAGACGGGGTGACGAGGAAGACGGGGTGACGAGGAAGACGGGGTGACGAGGAAGACGGGGTGACGAGGAAGACGGGGTGACGAGGAAGACGGGGTGACGAGGAAGACGGGGTGACGAGGAAGACGGGGTGACGAGGAAGACGGGGTGACGAGGAAGACGGGGTGACGAGGAAGGCGGGGTGACGAGGAAGACGGGGTGACGAGGAAGGCGGGGTGACGAGGAAGACGGGGAGATGAGGAAGGCGGGGAGATGAGGACGTGGGAGGGGATGAGGACGGGGGGGGAGATGAGGACGGGGGGGGAGATGAGGACGGGGGGGGAGATGAGGACGGGGGGGGAGATGAGGACGGGGGGGGAGATGAGGACGGGGGGGGAGATGAAGACGGGGGGGGAGATGAGGACGGGGGGGGAGATGAGGACGGGGGGGGGAGATGAGGACGGGGGGGGAGATGAGGACGGGGGGGGGAGATGAGGACGGGGGGGGGAGATGAGGACGGGGGGGGAGATGAGGACGGGGGGGGAGATGAGGACGGGGGGGGAGATGAGGACGGGGGGGGAGATGAGGACGGGGGGGGAGATGAGGAACGCGAATGAGGAAGGCGATGGTGCAAACTCACAGTCGCAAACGCATAAGGACCGCATGAGAATGGGAGGTGGAATGAGTTTAGACACGAAACAGAGCGCAAACACGAGCTCCTGATTGCAGATGGAAGAAAAGGGAACCAAAAGGCTCCTGGATGGATATGGCATCTTGAACGAATGTGACCTGCAGTAACTTGGTGGTACTAGTGCTTCTAGAAGCAAAGGAGGTTTGAACTCACGCGTGCCAGTCATCAAAGTCGAAGGCGTAACCTTCTGCCTGCAACACAAATTTCAAACGAGAATGTCAGCTCGGCACAGTCCATTGCAGCCCACGTGGATAGCATACTGATTCAGACCATCAGTGCTTATTGATTAGTGGTCAAAATCAGCTGGAGTCACCTATTGCAAGGGTATCGCACCATCTAAACGTGCAATCGCCTGTAACACCATGGTGACAGCGTCACATCATATGTCTATGTTCCCTCAACGTATAAATATTTGGCACAACAATATCCCTCCATCTTTGTTACTGAAGCATTACTTCAAGAATACGTAACTTGCTGCTTGCCACACTGCTGACACAGCCTACCTCTGAGCAGCCCCCACTAACAGCTGTGTGCCTAAGCGCATGTGCCAGACTTTGGACTAATACTTGCTGGCGACAGATCTTACGCCCATCGATCCTGCGACCTATAAAAGTTGGGACTTACCCGGAGACCAGCCATGGAGGTGCCATGCTCCTTATACAGCCTGATGGCCTCCTCGCCTGCGGTGTCTGCTGCGAAACCCAGGCGTTGAACCATGTAATCTGAGACGGGAAGAACGGCGGAATAGAGAGAGGGGGCGGAGAGGGAATGCTGGCGAATCAATGTGATAACCAAATGGCTTCACTAGCTTTCGAAGATGAGCCAGGACCCAAAACAATGCGCAAGAGGATATCTGCTTCGGATACTTGCAGGATGTGGATTTGGTATATCGGGCAAAATGACAAATTCGTAAGCTGGGAGCGATTTCGTCAATAATCATACCTTCGATGTTCTTCACACACGCTGGGCCGAGACCAGCGCTACTGGGATACAGAGTGTCATCCAAATCTGCAGCACAGATTGAAAACACGTCGATTCACACGTTGGCAATGCACAATCGCCAACACTTGTAACATGAACGAACTCCTTGAAGGAGTTGTTGCCCGACGATGGGGCCACAATGGTTGGGTGGTACGGGAATTACTACAAGAATGCGATGCTTCATCGAGAAGCAGGCTTTATAGTAAGTATCCCTACGCAGATGCTGAACGGCTACGGCTTACCGAAGAAACAAGTTGTGATAGGCGCGGAAAATTCGCGGGTTGGTTCCGACTGAGTAACCACAGTCGCTTCAGAGTCTTCTTCTAGTGTGAACAGTGGCGAGATGACACCATTCCTGCAGTAATATGGAAGTCAAACATGAAAGCTGGTCAGAGAAATCCGTAACAGTGGCGAGATGACACCATTCATGTTTCTGAACTGAATCAACGCAAAAGCGGAACAACGATTTCAACTACATTCAGCCTAACGACGTGTCATATGAATATGCATCCGTAACTATTCACTATTGTTCAAGCGGGTTACGCTAAGGCGTGCCAGGCAGCGTCTTCACAGGCAAACAGAAACAACATGGAGGAGGACGTACCCTGTTGTTGGCGCCATTGTGATGCAGCTCCTGGAAACTAAGGCTAGAGACAGCCACTACAACGATAACTACCGGGAACTAAACGAAAAAACACGGTGGAAGGCGAGTTTGACGCAAGCTGTGTGTGCGAGCAATACAAGGCCTGGACGAGCGCTAGAGCAGGAAGGATTACAGTATGTGGGAAAAAGGTATTTGTGATGAAATGGTGGATTATGTACTTGGCATGGATACAGCAGACCCAAAACAGTTTGCGGCAATTTCGAGACTACGAGGTGGGTTAAGGTTAAGGTTATATAAAGGTCGTAACCATGTACAGCAAAGCATAGAGCAGCTAGAGATATGGTCTACACAAACCAAGCGCCCAAAGGCGTACGTAGGAAACACGTTTCGAGACTACGAGGTGGGTGGGTCTGCTTCTGGGATGTGTTCTGTTCTGCTGGACAGAAGGTGTTGTGTTGTGCCGAGGCCCGTATTTGGTTGTCACTCATTGATTTCCACTAGGTTGATATGGAATCTAAAGGGATTGGACGGTGTACAAGAACAGTTTCATGAGGCATGGGATGGTTGGGTTCGAGATGGTGATTTGGGAAAATATCGAGGGCGGAAAAACCTCTGGCGGGAATTTCCGAGGCTGGTGGGCTGCGATATGGCGACGCGATAAGCTGTGGTTCTGTGTGGGGTGGAAATCTTCTAGAGCGATTACTTGTCCGACGTGGCGAGGGTCGGCCGACCACACAGATACACTCACGGGGCTGACTCTCAGGGACCTTCAGGGTTTCCTCTTGCGGTGGCGCTTCTTCCTGACCTCATAGCCAGCGTTGGTGGCGTCAGCGTTGACGCGCACAGATGAACTGGCTTGAAAGGAAACACCACCAACCGCCACCGAATTGTGAGAAATGGGTGAATTACACCAGTAGAGCACAAAACACTTTAAACCTAATGTACAGATATATCAATAATCGTGGGGCCTTTCTGCGTAGCGTTATACCGCGGATAATGAGCATGAAACGTGGAGTCATCTTGACAGCACAATCCATGGCCCCTGGCACGACCACGTGTTCGTTATCTCGAGCTGAGCACTCCATAAAATGACTCGCTCACTGGAAAGATGGCGCCGAAACGCGCACCTTCTGATGCAGACAATCTTGCGATGAGGCGAGTTTAATTGCGATCATTTTGCAGCTCCAAGCTACCGGCGCGCGTACGGGAACCTATAGAACTGTGCTTGCAGCACTGCCAGCCATGGCCTGTAGAATCGTATCATTCGCGGCATCTCGTGTTTCCACTGGGAGTTCCGTTAATCAGCTCCTTCAAGTTGGTTCATCGGCGTCCACCGTCTCCTTTGGCCGAGTCGCTCGCGTGCCATTACTAACTCCCGAAATAGCCGCCGGCGTTGGTACTATCTCGTCGGTATCTTCCATTTTTTCGCGGTCCGCCGCTTCAGGAGACTCCGTTACTTGGAGCCCAGTTGATGCGACGAGAGTACCCAGGCTGCGTGGTGTTCGATGTCGATCGCTTGCGACGGTTCGCGACGGCAGTGCGACAGCTAGGGAGGTGTCGCTCGTGCAAGGGGCGTCGCGAGGCATCGGGCTGGAGCTGGTCCGTGCCTCCGATCCCTCTCTGCCTGTTTTCCTGCTGCGTTCCTCTCTGCTGGTTTCCGGTTTGCTGATTTTCTCTCTGCTGGATTTGTCATGCTGCTTCTTTATTTTCTACACTTTTGTGGTACAATGTAACTTTTTTCCCTCCTCTCTCCCCCTTCCTCTTTCCCCCTCCTCCCCCATCCTCCTCTCCCCCCCCCCCTCCCCCCCCGCCCCCCCATCATCCCTCCCCCACACCTCCACCCAAAATTGTGAAGGGCGTGTATCTTCTTGGTATATTCCTTGCATGACCAGCATTGAAACCTTTGACAACCAAAGGGTCATATCGTTTTGAACAGCTGAGAGAGTTCGCCTTTCCCTCAGATTGCCAGGCTGGGAGAAATTCCTTAAGGGGCAGTGCGGTCGAAGCACAAGAGGCTCCTCTGACATGGACGATGGTGGCTCATTTATGATTCATCGACCTTCGACCGCTGATTGGCAGGTTCGGCAGCTGCTCCAGAGGAACCCTGACAGCCACGTCATCGCCACGTGTCGCAATCCTGCAGCAGCAGCGGCGCTACAGGAGCTCCAGAGTAGCAGTGGGGATCGGCTGACCGTTCTTCCCCTGGACGTTACTGATGAGGCAACCATCGAGGTGGGTGATGGACGAGGCGTGTATCGAGGTGCGTGGGATGCGAGGTGCAGTTTAGAGCCGACTCAAAAGTCAAGTGGGGATCGGCTGACCGTTCTCTCCCTGGATGAGGCCTCTATCGAGGTGGGTGATGGAGAGGCGTGTGTCGAGTTGGTGAGAGGTGAGGCGTGTGTTGGGGTGGGTTAGAGACGCGGTGTCTCTAGGGAAGGGTGAGAGACGAGGCGTCTTTAGGGGGGATTGACGCGGTGCAAGAGTTGTTTCTCTCGGGCTACACTACACTCACTTACACCGCTGTTGTATCGTGGTCTAATCCAAATATGGAATTCCAATGTATATAATTGGCATGGCGGGGACATGGCACGGTGCATGGTGTATGGTGTTCATGTCTCGTAAAAGCCATGATGGCATGCACGCTTGCATGGGATGGCGTGCATGGGATGGGATGGCGTGCATGGGATGGCATGCATGGGATGGCGTGCATGGGATGGCATGCATGGGATGCGTGTTTTCATGGGATGGCATGCATGGGATGGCTCGCATGGGATGGCATGCATGGGATGGCATGCATGGGATGGCATGCATGGGATAGCGTGCATGGGATGGCATGCATGGGATGGCATGCATGGGATAGCGTGCATGGGATGGCATGCATGGGATGGCATGCATGGGATGGCGTGCATGGGATGGCATGCATGGGATGCGTGTTTTCATGGGATGGCATGCATGGGATGGCGTCCATGGGATGGCATGCATGGGATGCGTGTTTTCATGGGATGGCATGCATGGGATGGCGTGCATGGGATGGCATGCATGGGATGCGTGTTTTCATGGGATGGGATGGCACGCATGGGATGGCTTGCATGGGATGGCATGCATGGGATGGCATGCATGGGAGGGCATGCATGGGATAGCGTGCATGGGATGGCATGCATGGGATGGCATGCATGGGATGGCGTGCATGGGATGGCATGCATGGGATGGCATGCATGGGATGGGATGCATGGGATGGCATGCATGGGATGGCATGCATGGGATGGCATGCATGGGATGCGCGTTTGCATGGGATGGCGCAGGGGCGTCACAACAGGAAGCTGCACGGCATGTGTCAGCCACGTGGGGGCACCTCAACCTCCTCATCAACGCATCAGGCCTCCTCCACATGCCGGGCGCCATGAGACCAGGTGCGCGGTGAGGTACATCTTGCATTGCACTGCACATGTGAAGCTGTCTTGTGTTGCTTGCTGCAATGAGCTTCTGCATGCATGGGCTGTGTATGGTACTACTGGGAGCTGTGTGTGGTGCGAGTGGGCTGTGTGTGGTTCGTGTGCTGACAAGCTGTGCCCTCTCTTCACCCTGATTGTCATTTTTCCGCAACTTCTCACTTTCCATCCATTTCTTCCTACTCGCTGATTCTTCCCATTCTCTAATTCTTCCCACTCGCTTATAATTTCCACTGCGTCCCTCTCTTCGAGCTATCGTGCCACCAGCTCTGCCCAAGCGTCCCACTGTGCCCTTGGTTGATTGAAGGCCATGCACGCTTTCAACCCTTCCCCTATGCACCCGTGTCCCCAATCCGCCCACCCTCTCCGCTTCCATGTGCATGCAGAGACATCTATGAAAGCACTCACGCCACAGGCCTTGCTCACCAGCTTCCAGGTCAACGCAATGGGACCGGCGCTGGTCATCAAGGTGTGTGTGAGAGCATTTAGAGTAACCAGCTACGGGGCGAGCACTGGTAATTATGGTGCGCATGCATCGTGAATAACATAGGATAGGTAGGCCCTGTGCCTGCAATTCAAATTCAAAAGCCGTAAGAGTACTAAAGTCTTGAACAAGCTACTCCCCAGTTTGCATGCCATGAGAGTTTAATCGACATACAATAAATTGTCTGTACGGAGGAGTATTTTTGCGAGGAATGTTCTTACAACGAAGCGGGCGGGACTGATCGTGAAGGTGCTTATGGGGTGGTTTTGAAATACTCTACGCCTTGTGGTTTGGGCAATTCACTAAATGACTTTTGAGTCGACTCATAGTTATCTCACACCATGTGGTGTGGGTACTTTACTGAATGGTTGGGCAGCCGAGTCCCAGAAAGTCAGCTCTGGTCGGTAGAGCATGGTTGGTTGTATTAAAGTAAAGTGTGTGTCTGAAGGGAAAGGGGAGCGGAACGATAGAAGGAGAGAGTGGGAGATGAATCAGGAGAGGATTACATGGTACGGGAGATAGGGGTACACCGTACATGCAGCTTGGTACGGGAGATAGGGGTACACCGTACATGCAGCTTGGTACGGGAGATAGGGGTACACCGTACATGCAGCTTGGTACGGGAGATAGGGGTACACCGTACATGCAGCTTGGTACGGGAGATAGGGGTACACCGTACAGGTAGCACGTTCGTCTATCCGGTGTTTCCTGTCCCTTTCTTTCCCCCCATTTTGTTCTCTTACCACTGTCATTGGCCTTTGTTGTCACCTCAGCATCCGTCCATGGCACATCTTCCCCGAACCTTCTCCCATGGCACCCTTTGTCCCCATTCTCTCCACTGTCTCCCTGCTCTGCTGATTGCACAGACGATGGCACAGCTGCTTGTCTAGGCGCCTAAGATCCCCTTTTCATTCTCCCCCTGCGCTGCTAATTGCACAGAAGATGGCGCCGTTGCTTGTCTAGGCGCCGCATATCCCCTTTTCACTCTGCTCCTACTGTGCTGTATGAGAATGAGAATCACACTTGAGAATTCTCGAAAGTGATTTTCATGTAGCTGATTGCACAGAAGATGGCGCGGTTGCTTGTGTAGTCCCCTCATCATAACCCCTCATCATAACCCCTCATCATAACCCCTCTTCACTCATCATAACCCCTCTTCACTCTGTCCCTACTGTGCAACGGCACAGAACATGGCGCCATTGCTGGCAGTGGGAGGAGGCGCAGCGGCAGGGAGGGAGGTGGCAGTGGCAGCGAGCATGAGCGCACGGGTGTCCTCGATAGGCGATAACCGGCTGGGTGGGTGGCATTCCTACCGCGCTTCAAAGACTGCTCTCAACCAGCGTGAGTTGTCCAGGTGTGGGGTTGGCAGTGGCAGCGAGCATGAGCACACGGGTGTCCTCGATAGGTGACAACAGGCTGGGGGGTTGGCACTTGTACCGCGCGTCAAAGACTGCACTGAACCAGCGTGAGTTGTCTGGGCGCGGTATGGGTCGACTCATGGCACACCACTGGCAGGCACGCACGTGGAAGTGGCAGCGAGCATCACTGCCCGGGTTTCCTCGATTGGCGATAGGGGGGAGTAGTGGCATCAAAGACGGCACTGAACCAGCGTGAGTTCTCTGGGTGTCTATTCCGAGATAACTTGAGGTACGGCAGCTGGGAACGAGGTGGCCGTGGCAGCGAGATAGTACGAGCGTGCTGGTCTCCCCGATAGGCTCGATGGACGACACAACATGCTGGCCGGGTGGCACTTGCACCGCGCCTCACAGGCTGCCTTTTGAGGCGCCTCAACACTCGTCACTTGCACCGCGCCTCACAGGCTGCCTTTTGAGGCGCCTCAACACTCGGCACTTGCACCGCGCCTCACAGGCTGCCTTTTTAGGCGCCTCAACACTCGGCACTTGCACCGCGCCTCACAGGCTGCCTTTTGAGGCGCCTCCACACTCGGCACTTGCACCGCGCCTCACAGGCTGCCTTTTGAGGCGCCTCAACACTCGGCACTTGCACCGCGCCTCACAGGCTGCCTTTTGAGGCGCCTCAACACTCGTCACTTGCACCGCACCTCACAGGCTGCCTTTTGAGGCGCCTCAACACTCGGCACTTGCACCGCGCCTCACAGGCTGCCTTTTGAGGCGCCTCAACACTCGTCACTTGCACCGCACCTCACAGGCTGCCTTTTGAGGCGCCTCAACACTCGTCACTTGCACCGCGCCTCACAGGCTGCCTTTTGAGGCGCCTCAACACTCGTCACTTGCACCACGCCTCACAGGCTGCCTTGAAAAAGTGTAAGTTGCTGCACATTTGTCCAGGTGTGTTCTTCTCAGTCGACTGGGAGGCAGGGAGGGAGGTGTCAGCGGCACGTGTCCTCGATGGGCAATAACTGACTAGGGGGTTGGCACTTGTACCGCGCATTGAAGTCTGCACTGAATAAGTGTGGGTGTCCCGGTGTATTCAGAGTCAACTCATGATGCAACGGCAGAGTGGTGGGGGCACTCTCACCACGCATCAAGGGCAGCCATGGAGCCTTCCTCCTTGGCACTATGTCTATCTGTGTTGTTTGATCATACTTTGCTGTCTCAATAATAACCGACCTTGCTCTCCCCTTTTCTCTCCAACCCTCGCACGTCCTCCTCCTAGTACCGCCATGACCCATCTCACCCCACCCCTCTGCACACATAAGCATCCCTTCTCATTCCCACACACGCCCCCGTTCCTTAAACCTTTCAACCACCTCGCTCGCTCCTCCCCTCCCCCCGCTCCTTCTCCAACCCCCCAGGGGTCTGCACAATGCCCATCAAGTTTTGGGCTTTCTCCTTCATACTCTCTCACTTCTTGGTTTCTTGTTTATACTCTCTCACTTCTTTGTAAGCCTTCCCCCCAGTGGTCCGCACTATGTCTATCGAGTTGGCGGCAAAGAAGCAGCCAGTTGCCACCATCCTCCTCCAGCTCCCTTCTCCCCTCTCCACCCCCCCTTCTCCCCTCTCCACCGCCCTTCTCCCCTCTCCACCCCCCTTCTCCCCTCTCCACCCCTCTTCTCCCCTCTCCACCGCCCTTCTCCCCTCTCCACCCCCCTTCTCCCCTCTCCACCGCCCGTCTCCCCTCTCCACCCCCCTCTCCACCGCCCTTCTCCCCTCTCCACCCCCCTTCTCCCCTCTCCACCCCCCTTCTCCCCTCTCCACCCCCCTTCTCCCCTCTCCACCCCCCTTCTCCCCTCTCCCCTCTCCTCTCCCCCAGTGGTCCGCACTATGTCTATCGAGTTGGCAGCAAAGAAGCAGCCAGTTGCCACCATCCTCCTCCAGCCCCCTTCTCCCCTCTCCACCTCCCCTCTCCCCTCTCCACCTTACCCACCCTCTCCTCTCCCCTCAACCAGTGGTCCGCACAATGTCGATAGAATTGGCAGCAAAGAAACAGCCAGTTTCTGCCATCCTTCTCCACCCAGGAACAGTGGACACAGATATGTCCAAGCCCTTCCAGAGGGCTGTGCCGCCCGGAAAGCTCTTCACGCGAGAGTTTGCCGCCCAGAAGCTGCTGGGGATCATAGACAGGGTCAGTGCAGGCGATAATGGAAAGTTTTTTGCATGGGATGGGCAGGAAATTTCTTGGTAGAGTTTCGAACTACGATTTCGTTTCTGCCCATAAGATCCCACAACTAGAGCCCTTGTGTTGCCAGCAAGCGACTCTACTATGTCAATATAAACAAGTGTTTGTAGGTAGTGTGGGGTTGCCTTGCTAGTATGGTAAACTCTCAAGTCTAAATACTGGAAATCAATAATGTGAGTGCACTACTGGCCATAGCAGGAGACGTGTCTATGAAGAGCTCGAAACGAGTCACTCACAGTCGTACCGGCTTGGTACCTGGTGGTCAGTATGGCCAATGTTCAGAGGTAAACATGGAGGCGCCATCAGTGCAGAAAGAATTGTTCGCAGACAATGATCTGAGTCGATGGCCCAAGAAGCAGTAGCGTCACACACGCATGTGATGGTTTGTGTGGCAAATGTTGGGGGTTGTGCAGGAGCAATCAATGCAGAAAGATTTTCTCGCAAGAGGAGAGGCCAACAAATAAGTTTAATTAGGATGGGTATGCGAGTGCGAAATATCAACACCATCCAGATACCTTCAACCACCGTAACGCAAGTACTGTGATATATAAGTTTAACCAAGCCAACTTATCACAAAGATTCTCATAGCAAAGCCTAGCGCTTGCAATCACATTGTACTATATCCAACTCACCTCACCCATGGGCACCAGGCATACGCATGGCACATGGGTCATCCGACTAAGGAATGCTGTCCAGGCCATCCAGCACCCTGCCCTGCTCATGTTGTCATCTGTAACTCTGCTGATGTCATCTGGCACCTTACTGATGTCACCTCGTACTAGATGCAAGGCATCCAAGCATAAACTGGCTAAGGGATTAGGATAAGACTGCTCCATGACACAGCTATTTCTGCTCACCATGGTTCTCGCACTGTCAGAGCTACTGCTGCTGCTGCTGATGCTCAAGATGCTGCTGTTGTGCGGGCCAATAGTGTCCACATGTCCCGTCTGATCAATCCTGCTGCTGTTGTTATGATGGCGTTGTTACCGCTGCACTGGTTGCACAAACCAGGGCGGTCGCTGTTAGTGCAGCTACAGTGAATTGATGTCGAAGTAAGGGCAAGCACGGCTACTGTTGATGCAAGCGCTGCTGCTGTTGTCGATACTGCTAATAGGGGGTACAGAAAACAGAAGACACTGTTCTATGTTGAGTCCTTCTGTATAGTCTCGGGTGCCAGTGTTGCAGCCATTGCTAATGCTGTCAAGCACGCTAACAGAGGCTACAGACAACAGGCCGCACTGTTCTGTGTTGAGCCCTACTGTATACTCTCGGCTGCCAATGATGCAGCCATGGTCCGCGGTAAAAACTGTTCCCTTAGCAGAATGAGTTGTAATGTCAGGAATGAGAGGGGATACAGTTACGTCTGCAACTTCTGGAGTGAGAGGAGTCATATCAGAATATTGAGTTGTCTTATCAGTAATAGGAGTCAAATCAGTAAAATGAGTTGTAGCACCAGTAGTAGGAGTCACATCAGTGAAATGAGGAGTCACATCAGTAAAATGAGCTGTAATGTCAGGAGTAGGAGTCATATCAGTAAACTGAGTTGTGATGTCTAGAGTAGGAGTCACATCAGTAAAAAAGGTTGCGATGTCCGCTGTGTGAATGCTTACACCTGCGCTCATCTGTGGTGGTAGCTGCTCGGTACAAAATAGAGATGTGGAGGCCTGCTGCTGTAACTGCTGCTGGAAGTACTGCTGTTGGTTTTGCTGTTGGTGCTGCTGCTTTAGCTGGTGCTGTTGATGGTGGTTGTGCTGTTGATGCTGCAGCAGTTGATGGTAGTGGTGCTGTTGGTGCTGCTGCTGTTGTTGCTGGTGCTGTTGCTGCGGCTGTTGCTGTTGGTGTTCCTGCTGTTGCTGATGCTGTTGGTGTTCCTGCTGTTGCTGCTGCTGTTGGTATTCCTGCTGTCGCTGCTGCTGTTGGTGTTCCTGCTGTTGCTGCTGCTGTTGGTGTTGCTGCTGCTGTTGGTGTTGCTGCTGGTGTTGTTGTTGTTGTTGCTGCTGCTGCTGCTGCTGCTGCTGCTGCTGCTGCTGCTGCTGCTGCTGCTGCTGCTGCTGCTGCTGCTGCTGCTGCTGCTGCTGCTGCTGCTGCTGCTGCTGCTGCTGCTGCTGCTGCTGCTGTTGCTGCTGTTGCTGCTCCTGTTGGTTCTGCTGTTGTTGCTGTTGCAGTTGTTGTTGTTGTTGTTGTTGTTGTTGTTGTTGTTGTTGTTGTTGTTGTTGTTGTTGTTGTTGTTGTTGTTGTTGTTGTTGTTGTTGTTGTTGTTGTTGTTGTTGTTGTTGTTGTTGTTGTTGTTGTTGTTGTTGTTGTTGTTGTTGTTGTTGTTGTTTGTGATGCTGTTTCTGTTGCTGCTGATAATGGTGATGTCTGGCGATTGCAAGGGAGGGAGAGGACGAAGAAAAGATGGGCGAGTAGTGGAGAAACGGGTGGGCGGAGGAGGGAGAGGAGTGGGGTGATGGAGCGAGGGGAAGGTGAGAGAGTCTGACGTGAGAGGAGTATGGAAGACAGGAGGATGGGGGTTATTATAGACAGCTGTAGCAGGAGCAGGAGGCACTGCAGCAGGAAAAAGAGGCACTGAAGCAGAAGCAGTAGCAGAAACAGGATTCACTGTAGCAGGAGCAGGAGCTGTATCGGGAGCGAGGGGCACTGTAGCAGAAGCAAGAGGCACCGTGGCAGGCACATTAAACGTAGCCGCGGGTGATTCAAGCAGTTGTAGCGGTGGCCTCAACTGGAAACATAGAGCTTGGCCTGCGGTTGCAGTGGTTACTTGTCCAAGTATCGTGGGAGAAGGTGAGGCAAAATAATGGGCTGGTTGCGGGAGATGTGTGGACAGGGAGGGCGGCGATGGAGTCTGGGTTGCTCTGAGAGCTGTCTGCTGCTCAGCTGCTGTGCTAATGGCAGGGAGGCTGCTAGTATCAAGAGCGGAGGCTGTGGCAGAGGTGAAGGCTGTAGCAGAAGTAGAATCTATAGCAGAGGTGAAAGTTGTTACAGGGGAAACGGCTGAGCCCGAAGCTAAGGTCGTGGCAGAAGAAAAGGTTGTAGCGGGAGTGAAGTTAGTCGCAGGGGGAACTGTCGCAGTAGAGGCAACGGTTATAGCGGCAGAAGTGGGGTCTGCTCGCGTGGGAAGGCAGCTGACGGCCGGATGCCCTGCAACATGCACCTTGGGAGCTGCTGGCGCGGGCGGCGGGTGATTGTGTGAACCAAAATATGCCACCCGCACCACCACACGCATCTCCGTCCTGTCCGAAGCCGTGTCGTTTTCTTCTGCCCGTCGTGCTACAGCCCCTCTACTTCTAGCAGCCACTTTGGTTGTACCTGCAGAGTTGCAAGCTGCTGTAGCACTGGCTGTAGCACTGGCTGCAGCCTTTGAGACAGCTGCAGCTTTCGAGATGGCGCCTTTTAGCCTGGGGCGGCGAGGGTGATGAGCCTCGCCGGCCACTCGATCCTCAACTTTCTTTGCCGGGCAGGCCGTGACGTGCTTGGATGAGCAAACAAAGTAAAGCAAGCAAGAAGGAAGGAGAAACGAGGTGCAGAACACATCATTTGGGGACTGAGACAATGAACAGCCTGCATGCTCGATGAGAAGGGAAACAGTGACCAGAGTCAAAGAGTGCCGACCAGAGTCTAATGTTGCCAACCAGAGTCGTTTAGTGCCGACCATAGTCGACAAGTGCCGAACGGAACGGACCCAACCCACGCAGACCAGAGCCGAGAAGTGCCGACCACCGGAGACCAGTGCCAAGCAGAACCTAGCCGAGCCGAGCCGAGCCGAGCCTTCACACTCCCCCGTTTTGTCGTTTCTCCTTCACACTCTATCACCTCCCCTTTGTTGGGAATAACAATTATTAAGCGCCTCTGTCGTGTCGAAACTCCGGACACAAGCGAAGCAGCTCAAATCGAAGCGCAACGAGTCAACCCTCGGAGGTTAGGGTAACCGCTGGAGGTTACGCGAAGGTCAAAGGTCGCTGACCTTTGACTTGACAAATACAGCGCGACAGCAAGGACACACAACTGACTCGACATTGAGCAGTTGCCCGAGTCGCACTGTATCGAATCGCAAGAGCAAGAACAGTTTAATTATATCTATTTGTATTCCTTGTACTCATATATAAGGCTTTGTATTTGCTTGTTTTATATCAACTTACTTTGCCCTCACATACCAGCGCAAGGTGGTTCAAGGACCTTTCATTCAACGCTTCCGCTATTACAATCCTACTCAGACTTTAACTCTACAAAGATCCTAGGGCACTTCAGCCCAACATGGTATGAGAGCAGTTAGAGTTTAAAGGTTATTTTTTCCATTAACACTCAATACAAGAAGACATGTCTACTAGGAAGGAGAGGAGCTCCTCCAACGGTTCTCCAGGCACTACTCCTACCCCACCTCCTGCCTCTGGTCTACAGATAGAGGAAGGGACTACCACAAGACCAGCAGCTGGGTCTACGGAAACACCCGCGGGCTTCGATCCAAGCATGATGGAGAAGTTCTTCTCCTTCATGTCCTTCTACGAGCAGCACCAGCAAGGAGTACTTGCGCAGTCAAACAACAGCAACAACAACAACGTGACTCCTATGAGTCTCGACGGCTCATCCTACGCACGCGGAATTCAACAACAACAACAGCAGCCTACCTTCGCGCCGTACGAGCCCCAGCGTGGCTCCGTCAGCTTCATGCCGCAACCGCAATCTGCACCGGGACAAGAAAGGGCATTGGACGCATTACAAGTTCAATCGCAATTCGCGCATGTTCTAAAGCTGCAAACGACAAAGCCTTTCGACGGAAAAGACTTCTTCACCTGGTCGTTCGAGTTCGAACTGATGATGGAAGGAGCACAGATTCTTGGCTTCTTCGACGGGTCCCTGCCATATCCAACAAACGGGACGCAATATGAGAAGCAGCAGTACACCTATCAATCAATGATGGCGTACACGATACTGCTAAGAAACATCACCCCGACCCAACAGCAGAACATCAGGACTTACCGAGGCTACGGCAACTCCGCGGAGCTCGC